CCTGCTGAGACTGGTTTTCATCTGTTCAAGAAGGTGTCTTCTTGTCTCTCCTCCTACAGATGGTGTCTGGGGTGAGAGGGTTTCTTACTTTCCAAGAGCAGTGGGAAAGGGTCCTTGGTCTGCATGCTCTCCACTTAGAATCTGCTTATGTTTGATTTAGTAGCTTTGATTGCTCTGGTCTCTGGGTATCTGATGCTGCACTATGGAGGAATGAATGAGGCCAATTCAGTGCCACACTCTCTGTTAGATGTTGCTGGTTTTAGACTGTAAAGGGCTGAAGAGAGATGATGGGCTGGACCTCAGGCAGCTCATGACCAGTTCATGACCAAGCTCATCACATGTCCTTGTGATGAAGTGGTCTTTGGTAAAGAAGCCTTTACCAACTTGGTCTCATCCATACAGGCAACACAGATGGTGAGGTGCGTCTCTAACACCCTGGTATAACAAGTCACTTGTTTCCTTTTAAAGTTGTATACTTATTTTTTAATTCAAAAGTATTTTGTATATTTTTTGTATATACACATATACCCAGTGGTCATGTATGGATGTGAGAGTTGGACTATAAAGAAAGCTGAGCGTCTAAGAATTGATGCTTTTGAACTGTGGTATTGGAGAAGACTCTTGAGAGTCCCTTGGACTGCAAGGAAATCCAACCAGTCCACCCTAAAGGAGATCAGTCCTGGGTGTCATTGGAAGGACTGATGCTGAGGCTGAAACTCCAATACTTTGGCCATCTGATGCGAAGAGCTGACTCACTGGAAAGGACCCTGATGCTGGGAAAGATTGAGGGCAGGAGAAGAGGATGACAGAGGATGAGATGGTTGGATGGTATCATCGACTCAATGGACATGGGTTTGGGTGGATTCTGGGAGTTGGTGATGGACAGGGAAGGCCTGGTGTGCTGCGGTTCATGGGGTCACAAAGAGTTGGACATGACTGAGTGACCGAAATGAACTGAACTGAACTGATTTTGTATATTAGTGACTCTGATTGGTCCTGAAAATGTCTGTCTACCAAGCATATTTAATTATTTACTTTTCTAGCAAAGAGATTACTTAACCTCTGAAACCTCCATATTTTCATGGTGATTTGGGGATAATAATGCTACATATTGCATTGCTTTACAGTCCATAAGATGAAATAAACAATCTAAATTAAAGAAAAGGATTCTTCCTGGTCTTTACTTCTGCATTTCTGATTCAATACAAAAGGTGTTAAACTAAATTTTTTTTATAACAAAATTTCTTCCTGTTACAGTTTGTGGTTTGAATTGAAAATATGCCAAATGATAAGTGTATAAACATCCGGACCACTTGGCCGTATCTGATGAGGACCAGAAGAGGAGGCTTCATGGTGTTCACCTGTCAGTGTGCTGAGCTCTGTCTTCTTTATCTTTGGATATACAAAGACGCGACATTTATACATGTTTAGAACTGGCTCTCTCAGCACTGCTCTTGGAATGGGGCCAGCCTTGTTTCAATTGATTGTGTTCATTGCAAAGAAGTGTAGAAGTGAACCATACATAGCTTATACCATTTAATCATATTGAAATATCATTACAAGAAGTGACACAACTTGCATTGTGCTGTTAAGTCCTCACATCAAGTTAAATTATATCTCAAAAGATTTCTTTGGGTTGAAATGATTTGTGTAAAATACCTGGCTGACTTTCATTCATTCAGGTACACAATAGACATCATTTAGGGTTTTTAATTAGCAGGCTTTGGGGATAAGGAGGCGAATTAGACACAGAACCTTTACCAAGTCCATTTATAAAGTAAAGTTAGCAAGTAAACAACTTAATTCATGAGGTTCACAGTTGGTAAGGTCGAGGTTCATGAGCAGTAGAACCTCTCTCTGGGGCACAGAGAGAAGGGGTGATGTGTGGAAGACTCACAATTCTGACCCCAATCACCATCACAGTACGTAGTTCCTGGGAGAGTTTTGACATTTCCAGTCAAGGCTCCAGGTAACAGAATTGAATTCCCATTCTAGAGTCCTGGGCTTCCTGGGATGAGATGGAGAGAGGAGCCCTAATATTGTTTCTCTGGCAAGACAATGTACTACTATTGACTAGTGGTTATATCTTTTACTAATGCCAACTCATTTTTTTCTAACCAAAACTCTGTCATCTATACACAAGTATAACTCTTCTTTTACAGACAAAGCCATTATACAGAGAGTGTAAGGACCCTGTTTAAGGTCACACACATGGTATGTGGCTGTGCTCTGAGTCAGGCCAGGGCAGACTGGTTCCTGAGCCTGTTCTCCTGACCCCTGAAGTTCACATGGACACAGCTGGGTTAGTGTCCTTCCTAAAGCTTTCCTCCTTCAAATCTTGAATGAGATTGGACACTGAGATTTCCTTATGTGTCAGAGAAGACGAACCTTCATCAGAGGGTGAGTTGGTCCATGCTGACCCTGCATCCCCAGTTCTGGGGTAGAGGATGCTGCCTGGGCACAGCCTGCCAGCCCTGGGTTAGCCCTTCCTTCCAGCCCCCTCCATCCTTATAACAGGGTATGGAGTCCCTAACTGTATGTTACTGCAAGATCTCAATCCTGAGGTGAGACCATGTGTACCTGGTTCACTAAATGCATCCCTGTGTCACCCTGTAGGAGGAATGACTGGACTCCAGGAAGCACATTCTATATTCTAGGTGTTTGTCTGGTGGTTTCTGGTGATGGTGTGGAGTGGAGTCCATAACTGGGTAAGGAGTGATGACTCTCGGTACCAGGGGGAATAGAGCATCGACTCTAGTGACTGAGCAGATCCTGTTCCTACTCCAGTGCCTGAGTTTATATTCTGGTTCTGACATTTATAATTGGTTATTATCACTACTGCATTAAGCATCCAGAAAGACATAGGGTTCATGTACAGATGGGCGCTTGGAAGTCAGAGGAACACAGGTAAGTGTTAAAAAATAATGGGTTAATATCAGCATATTTAGAGAGAGAAAAGCATGTGTTCAATTGACTTTTCTCCCTTTTCATTTACCTGAATCTCAAGTAGGAAGGATGGGCATGGCAGGACAGAGAAGCTGTGTCTGCTGACCGGGATGAGGGGTCCTTCCAGTGGGGGATGTGACAGGGCTGTAGACTGGTCCACAGGTGCCTACATTGTTGGCTTCACCGAGACCTTCAGGTGTGCGAGGGGAAGGGTGTGAAGCTGTCTCTGAGTTCTGGTGGGGACTCTGAGGCGTGTGTGGTGTGTGTCACAGATAGGTCCTTCCCAAGTTTGTGCTGAAATGATGGGAGTCAGGGTGAGGGGGCCTCAGGGTGGATTTCTGTGGACCACAGAGGTGCATCATGGGAATCTTTAGCCTGAGGGAGTATGATGAATGAGGCAGTATGTCAGTGACCTTGAATTTTGATGGGGGAGCGCTATCTTGCACCATTAGGGCCCTTCTCAGTCTCTACACTCATCCCTGGGCTACTTTCTTTCTGAGGAGTATATGGGAGCTTCTCTGATCAGTGGGACAAAACAAGGCAGCAATGGCCACACTGGACATCAGTCCCTTCTGCTTGGCTCCGTGCCTTCAGTCCACCTGGGCTTCCATTCTTGCCGCCAGCTTTCCTCTTAAACTGAAAATGAATGAACACTCTTCTCTTTTCTGCTTCATTTGCCTTTTCTTTGCCCCTTGTCTGCAGCCACTGTGCAGTGGAATACTTTCTATTTATCCTTTTGTTTGGGGGAAGTTCCCTTAAACAATATTTTGTATCTTTTTTTTAAATGAAAATCAAAGAACACATTTATTAACCAAGAAGTTCAGTCAGTTCAGTTCAGTTGCTGAGTGTTTCCAACTCTTGTGACCCCATGGACTGTAGCACGCCAGGCTTCCTTATTTTGCATCTTCTTTAGTTATGGCTTATGAAACAAGTGGATTATGAATCCTATCAAACCAGACTCTCAATATGCAAAGGGGGAAAATGTGAAGTTTAGAGAATGTTAATCTTTCTAAGCTATGTATTTTCTTCTAGAGTTTCCCACTCCTATTTTGGAGGGCCAGGGTTGAATAATGATTACTACTTTCTCTTTGTTTCCTGTAACAGCAATCTCTTTCTCTCCTGAAGCATCATTTGTTGACGAGCTGAAAGGGGTACTTCACATAAAATGAAATGCAATAAATGGAAAGGGATTCAGCATGTCTGAAAATCCATTATAGGGCTTCCCAGGTGGTTCAGCAATAAAGAACCCGCCTGCTAATGCAGGAGACACAGGAGATATGGGTTCGATCGCTGGGTTGGGAAGATACCCTCGAGAAGGAAATGGCAACACACTCCAGTATTCTTGCCTGTGAAAGCCTATGGACAGAAGAGCCTGGTGGGTTACAGTTCAGGGGGTCACAAAAAGTAGGACACAATTAAGCACACATGCACCTTCTCTAGGACCCAGTCTCCAGATCATTCTGAGAAGAGAAGACCTACAATCTCATCCCTTCAACTTAATGGTTTCCTTCTCACCCTCTCCATGGTCTGTGATTTCCTGCAATCCTTGTCCTCATTTTCTGCTGGCCTGACAAATATTCTTGTATTTCAAGCCTTCTTCTAAGTACTCGGCTTTCACCCTGAGCTCAGTACTGGGAAGATCAGTGCTTGATTCTACTAGAGTTATTCCCCATGGGCCAATTGATTCCACAACCTGACCCTGCAAGATCTCACAGTCCTTGGGGATTGGCCAGGGTGATCAGAGGAAAAAAAGGTACTCACAGTTTTCCACGCCAGCCCCGATTATGGGGCCCAGCTCTCAGGACCACGGAAGCAGGAGGTCAAAGGACTGTGTTGCTCATATAAGGAGATGTTGAAGATTCAGAAGCTCATTGGTATTTGAACTTCAGAAAGTGGCAGATGCAGCCTCCGATAGTGCCTGAAATGGTGAAAGGTGTCGCTATTGGCTCTCAGGAGGGAGGATGTAGGGGATGGTCTATAAAGACCCCGGTCGGCACCCTGACACCTCCTCACAGGCTGATCCTGCAGCTGGGACTGTGACCTTGAGGACATAGGGTCAGGATGGCTCTGAGCCAACACCTCTCCCTCCAGGGGCTCTGTGTCCTCCTCCTCGGCACCATGGTGGGTGGTCAAGGTAAGAGCTGCCCCTCTGTCCTGGGTCCACAGCAGGGAGTGGACGCCTTGGTGAAGGGAAAGCTGTCTGGGGTTCTGGAGCCGAGCCTCAGTGTTTTTAGCAAAAAAGGAGCCACGCTGACTGTGAATACTGGTTCCTCTCCTGTGGGGGGTCCACTGGTCGTATAGGCAGATTATACAGAGCAGTGAGGTTTGGTCTGGACCGAGCTGCATCACCCTGAGTCCCCTCCACTGTCTCCCTTGTTCTCAGGGAGCTTCTAGGAGTCCCAGTGGCTCCCAGTGTGTGGAAGGTCCAGCGACTGAGCTCAGCTGGGACTCTGGGCTGTTCCCACACGCTCCATGTGCCTGGTGTGTGAGCACTGCCCCTGGGTCCCCATGTTTCCAGTGTCTATGCTCCTGTAGGCTCTGTGCTTGTATGAGTGTATGTGAGGGTGAGTGAGGAGTGTGTAAGGGTGTGTTTGTGTGAGGGTGGGTGAGAGTGTGTGTGGGGTGTGTGTGAGGGTGTGTGAAGCCCGTCTGTGTGAGAGGAATGGGGCTGCTGAGCAGAGACTGAGTCTGTTGGTCTGTGAGGCACACAGGGTCCCACAGGGCTGGGTGGCTGCATGTAACCAGATCAGAGACAATCGTGCACCTGCCTGCCTCTCTCTGGCTCCTCTCGCCCATCCCCCGGGCTCCCCTCTGCTTGTTGCCGGGTCTGCCCAGCACTGGGCTCTGTGAGAGGCTCTGCCTGCTGGCCTTGCCTGTTCCCACCAGGTGTTCCTTGTGGAGCAGAGGAGCCCACAGCTAGGAGAGGGGACCTCTTGTCTGCTGAGATCAGTTGATGCGCAGCCCCAGGTGTATAAATTCCCGAGTCCCTGCTCTAGTCCCAGTGACTTGCTTCCTGATGTGCTGGGAGTCTGGGATGGCCCTTTCCCCCTCCCAGGATCTGCTGTGACACTTTAGGTAGAATTTTTCAAAAAATTATTTATTTATTTATTTTTGGCTGTGCTGTGTCTTCATTGCTGCATGGGCTTTTCTCTAGTTGTGGCTAGCAAAGGCTTCTCTCTAGTTTGGTGTGCACATTTCCCATTTTGGTGTCTTCTTTTGTTGTGAAGCACAGGCTTTAGATATGGGTGCTTCAGTAGTGGGTCCAGTGGCTAAGACTCTGTGTTCCCAGTTCAGAGAACTAGGTTTCAATCCCTGGTCAGGGAACTAGATCCCACATGCTGCAACTAAGACCAAACACAGCCAAACAAATACTAAAAAAAAAAAAGATGGAAAGTTACTGTTTTGTAGGTTATGAATACCTTTAAGGTTTTTGGTATGTAGAGATTAATGCCTGCTAGAAATTGTTGCTGTTTAGTCATTCAGTCGTGTCTGACTCTTTGCGACCCCATGGACTGTAGCCCTCTAGGCTCCTCTACCCATAGGATGCTCCAAGCAAGAATACTGGAGTGGGTTGCCATTTCCATTTCCAGGAGATCTTCCTGATCCAGGGATCAAACCTACATTTCCTGCTTGACAGGCAAATTTTTTTTTTTTTTTTTTTTTACCACTTAGCCATCTGATAAACCCCTGCGAGAATTAGCTGCATAAACTTTAGTTCCACAAGTGTGTGAGGATGTTAGTTTCCACGTAGCCTCACCAACTTTGTCATCTTATGAAGTTTTTAAAATGCAGCCAATTTTATAGACAAATACTAGCATATATTAGCTACTTTAATCCTTCATTTGTGGATTACTTGCTCATGACATTTATCCTTTTAAACTTGTGATGTTTATCATTTTGTCATGATTTATATTGAAGCTCTTTATACTACTACTACTGTTACTACTGTCTTACTACAACTACACCATCAGATACCTATACTACATTCACTTGTATGAACTCATTTGAGTGCACAATAATTCTATGCTGTGCTGTGTTATGCTTAGTCACTCACTCGTGTCCAACTCTTTGCGACCCTATGGACTATAGCTCACCAGGCTCCTCCTCTCCAGGCAAGAATACTGGAGTGGGTTTCTATGCCCTCCTTCAGGGGATCTTTCCGATCCAGGGATCGAACCCAGGTCTTCCACATTACAGGCAGATTGTTTTACTGTTGAGAAGCCCAAGAATACTGGTATGGGTAGCCTATCCCTTCTCCAGGGGAACTTCTCGACCCAGGAATCAAACTGGGTTTTCCTGCAATGTAGGTGGATTCTTTACCAACTGAGCTACCCAGGAAGCCCCACAATAATCCTATAAGGCAGAATGTAATTTTTATCCCCCAAAATATGTCACTGAGGCAAAGCAAAGTCACTTGTCCAAAGTGAGTCAGGTGTAAGAAGCAGAAGCAAGGCTTGAACCCAAGTAGTTTGGGTGCAAGTCCTTATCCTTGTTGAATAATTCCATTTACAGTCTGAAGATGTTTCCTTCAGTTTGTTGTTTTAATTTTACCTCTAGTTTTAGTTTCATGGACGTTTCTTTTCCTTTTTTGATCATACAATTTGGCATGGGGATATTAGTTCCTGGATCAGAGATTGAAGCTGTGCCCTCTCTAGTGGAAAAGTCCTTCATGGAAGTTTCTAATGATGTTAACCACCTATTAAAATTTCTTTCTTGTTTCCACTTTCAGAGCCTTGTTAAGAATGTTCTTCCCCACTTCAAGCTTAAGTAAATTATTTTTTATTTTCTCTTGTAATTTTATGAGTATATTTAAACATTGTCAATACTAAATAGCTAAGTTATTTTGTATAAAATAAAAATAAAATAAAACATGAAGTTCCATCAAATTTTATTCTATTTTTTCCAATATCATTCCTGAATTATATCTTTTTCTTTTCTCACTGATTTGAATGTCACATAGAAATGTGCTAAATTGCATATTTCCATATCTGCCTTTTGGATTTTATTTAAACTTTCATTCTACAAGTGTTTATTAATTTAAAGATGGGCTTGTGTGGTAGTAAATCCATTCCCTTTGCAGTTCACCAGATGCTGAGGTCCTCATGGTGATGAATGAAGTTCCACGGCTCATAGTCTAGTGCAGCTGGGCACCAAAACAGGAATTTATAATAAACTTCGATAAGTGCCATCAGTAAGACCCCAGTAGGGTTACCTGATCTAGCTGGGAGAAGCAGAGAAGGTGTCCCTAAGGAGTCAAAATTTAAGCTGAGCCCATGGGTTTTAGAAATGAAGTTATTTATTGTTTAGAATTTACAGTACTGACAGTGAACCCTTATATATAAACTATTGTATACATACATGCTTAGTATATGTCAAATTTATATAATATCATTTATTTATATAGTTTATTTCAAGTTTTAAAGACTTAGAAGTATATTCCAAGCTCCCATTGTTATTACTCGTCCGTCAAGTTTTCCTTGCTTTTGCAAAAGTTTAGTCTATATATATACACTTTTTTTCCTGTGTTTTTCCAGCTTTATTGGGATGTAATTGTCATATAATAGGGTATAAGTGTAAGGTATACACTGTGATGATTTGAAATACATAGATATATTCTGCAAAGATATATACAAGTGGCCAAAAAACACATGAAAAGATGCTCAACATCACTAATTATCAGAGGAATGCAAACCAAAACTACAATGAGGCATCACCTCATGCTGGTCAGAATGGCCATCATCAAAAATCAACAAGAAATAAATGCTGGCGAGGGTGTGGAGAAAAGGGAACCTTCCTACACTGTTGGTGGGAATGTAAATTGGTTCAAGCACTATGGAGAACATATGAAGATTCGCTCAAAAACTTAAGAATAGAGCTATCAAATGGTCTAATCGCACTTCTGGGCATATATCCAGGAAAAACCATGATCTGAAAGTATACATGCACCCTAGTGTTCATTGCAGCATTATTTGCAATAGCCAAGACATGGAAGCAAACTAAATGTACATCAACAGAGGAACGGATTAAGAAGATGTAGTATTTGATATTGAAACTTATATACAGTGGAATATTACTCCTTAGCAATGAATGTGCCGGGGTCCAGCCTTGGCAGGATCCAGGGGATACTCTCAGGATGATCGGCGTCAGCGAGAGAGAGACATGAGACCAGCCTTGATAAGGCCAAGTCTGCGAGGGAGAGAGAGAGAAAGAGAGAGAGAGAGAGTGACCAGACCGGGGGTGCAGCAGGGTCTGGCAGAGTCTGGCAATGCTTTATTTTTTACCATGGCTTTTATATCCTAAATTAGTACATTTCTAAGGGGAAGATAGTTTAACATTACATCAGTTTGTTCTTCACGAAACCAGGGTGTTTTCTGCATGCTTCTTTGTTTATGAGGGTCTTGTACATTATCTTCTGGCCTTGGGGCCTATTGACACTTTATGACCTAGGTGAATGCAAAGCTGTTTTCCGTAATCTATTCTTTAATGAACACAAAGGTCAGTCCTTTTGCAGAAGTTATCAGTTTAGTTTATCTAAAAGCTTTACCACACAAAGACTCTGCAGCTCCAGTGAGGCAGCCCCTGTTTAGCATTCCTGGTTAAAATGAACAATTCTAAACTCTTATTTTTCTAAATCTTTAACTATAACCACTTTTAGAATAATATTTTATGTTCTCTAATAGAGCTTCCTCACCCCTGAAGGGCTCTGTACCTATTAGGGCCTTTTGTGTGATCAGGTTCTTTATGCTGTTTATGATTAAGGTGTTGTGAGCAGTCATGTGCATTAGTATGCATTTGCCAAGCAGGCTAGAATGCCAGCAAAGGAGTCTAAATTGAAACACTCCTTTCATCCTGGATAATCTTATAGAATACCACCATCTGGCAGACATATTAATTAAAGTTCTAAGTTGATTCTGTTTGGAAAGAGATCGGGGAAGGCCTTCTACCCGTGTCACAGAAATTAGGGAGTAGTCTAATATAGCAAGCATCAGAAAGACAGAGATCATCTTTAAGGTGAGTGCTGGGGCAGCTTTTCAAAATCCCTGAAGTCCTGATCTGCCTTGCTTGTCAGGTCTCCTCCTCACAACCTTGTCATGAGTGGGATCTCATGTGCTGGCTCCCGAACGGAATATTACTCCTTAGCAATGAATGAAATAATTCCATTTCACAGAAACATGGATGGACCTAAGTGAAGTACATCAGACAGAGAAAATCAAATATCACATATATACAACAGTATATTACTCTGCCATAAAAAGGAATGAAACTGGGTCATCTGTAGAGATGTGGATGGACCTGGAGACTATCATAGAGGTGAAGTAAGTCAGAAAGAGAAATACAGATTTTGTATATTAATGCATATATGTGGGATCTAGAAAAATGGAATGGATGATCTTATTTCCAAAACAAAAATAGAGACACAGACATAGAGAATGAATGCATGTACACTAAGGGGAAAATAAGGAGTGGGATGAATTGGGAGATTGGAACTAATGTGTATATACTACCAATACTCTGTATAAAATGGATAACCAGTGAGAAGCTACTATATAGCTCAGGGAACTCTACTCCTGCTTTGTGGTGATCTAAATGGGAAGGAAATAAAAAATGGGGATATATGTATCGTTGTTCAGTCACTCAGTCATGTCTGACTCTTTGCAACCCGGTGAACTGCAGCATGCCTGGCTTTGCTGTCCTTCACTAACTCCCAGAGTTTGTTTAAGCTCATATCCATTGGACTGATGATGCCATCCAACCATCTCATCCTCTGTCACTCCCTTCTCCTCCTGCCCTCAATCCTTCCCAGAATTAGGGTCTTTTCCAATGAGTCAGCTCTTCGAAACAGGTGGCCAAAGTACTGGAGCTTCAGCTTCAGCATCAGTCCCTCCAATGAGTATTCAGGGTTGATTTCCTTTAGGATTGACTAGTTCTATCTCCTTGCCATCCAGGGGCCTTTATACATATAACTTTGCTGCATAGTAGAAACACAACATTGTAAAGCAACTACACTCCCCCCAAAAAATTAATTTTTAAAAGATACAAATGAATTTATTTACAAAACAGAAACAGAATTACAGATACCAAACAAACAAATAAACCTGTTTTTACAAAAGGGGAAATGTAGGGAGTTGGGGAGAGGCATAAATCAGGAGTTTGGGATTAATACACACATACACCCTACTATATATAACGTAGACAACTAACACGGACCTCATGTATAGCACAGGGAACGCTAATCAATATTGTATGATAACCTAGATGGGAAAAGAATCTAAAAAAGAATGAGTGTATGTATATATGGGCTTCCCAGGTGGTTCATTGGGTAAAGAATCCATCTGCAATGCAGGAGACCCAGGAGATATGGGTTTGATCCCTGGGTTGGGAAGATCCCCTGGAGGAGAGCATGGCAATCCATACCAGTATTCTTGCCTGGAGAATTCCATGGACAGAAGAACCTGACAGGCTACAGTCCATGGGGTCGCAAAGAGTAGGATACAACTGAAGTGTCTGATCTCACAGGTACACATATGTATATATAACTGACTCACTTTATTGTACACCTGAAACTAACACAACATTGTAAATAAACTATATTCCAATATAGTTAAAATATTTAAAAATAAATGCATATATATATTATGAAATGATTACCATAATTTTAGTTAATATGTCCATCACCTCTATCACTGGTTACTCTCTGTGAGTGTGTGTTTTGAGAACTTTTAAGACTGGTTTTATTAGTTAGTAATGATCAAGTAGAGTCAGTATACTTGGACTGCAAGGACTGCAGCCCTTGGACAGCAGGGAGCTCAAACCAGTCCATCCTAAAGGAAATCAACCCTGAATATTCATGGAAGGGACTAATGCTGAAGCTGAAGCTCCAGTACTTTGGCCACCTGATTCGAACAGCCGACTCACTGGGAAAGATTGAGGGCAGTAGGAGAAGGGAGTGACAGAGGATGAGATGGCTGGATGGCACCATCAACCCGATGGATATGAGTTTGAGCAAACTCCAAGGGATAGTGAAGGACAGCGAAGCCAGGCATGCTGCCATCCATGGGGTCATAAAGAATCGGGCACAACTGAACAACAACAGTACAGTCAGTATTATGGACTACAGTCACACATATATTCTATCCCCAGAGCTTATCCATATTGTAAATAGAAGCTGGTATTGTTTGTACTATCTTTCATTCCTCCCATCCCCACCCCTGCCCAGCAACCACAAATTTATTCTGTTTCTATTAATTTGTTTTTTTTCAGATTCCATGTATAAATAAGATCAAACCGTATTTGTTGTTCTCTGTCTTATTTCATTTAGCATAATGCCCTCCTACGTTAGTTATATGTTGCTGTGCTACATTCCTGCAAAACTTGGCAGCTTGGCCAGTGTGACTGGAGCCTGTGCTCTGCAACAAGAGAAGTTATGGCAATGAGAAGCCCATGCACCACAATGAAGAGAAGCCCCAACTCACTGCAACTAGAGAAAGTCTGTATGCAGCCATGAAGGCCCAGTGTAGCCAAAAATAATGAATAAATAAATAAACAAAACTTGACAGCTTAAAGCAGCAAACATCTAGCATCTCATAATTTCTGTGGACTAGGAGTTGTGAGCTTCCCCAGTGACTCAGTGGTAAAGAATCCACCTGCAAGGCAGGAGACCTGGGTTTGATCCCTGGGTCTAGAAGATCCCATGGAGAAGAAAATGTCAACCCACACTAGTATTCTTTCCTGAATAATCCCATGGGCAGAGAAGCCGGGTAGGCTACAGTCCATGGGGTCACAAAAGAGTTGGACACAACTGAGTGACTAAGCAACGGCAGCAACCTGGGTCCTCTGACCCATGACGTCTCACAGCTTCAATCATCTGAAGGTTTAAGAGGGAGTGGGTATCACTGTTGGCGAGAGCCCTGCCTCCATCCCTTGTCATGATGGTCTCTTCATATACAGCTCACAACATGGCAGCTGGCTTTATCAGAGCAAGAGAGAGAGCAAAATAAGTCACCAAGGGGAAGCAGAGTTGTCTTGAATCCTATCTCTTAAGTGAAATCTCATCACTTTTGCCAAATTCCATTTGTTAGATGCATGTTATTAAGTATAGTCAAGTGTATGGGGATTACACAAAGATGTGAACACCAGGAGGCAGGAATAATCAGGATACTTTAGAGATTCTTATCCCATCCCTCTGTTTCTAAGCTGGATGAGATGCTCCCTATGGACAGGGAAGGAGAGGGAGAATCCTGAGCCATGAGCTGTAACTAAGATGGGGAAGCAGGGCTCTAGTAGCCTTGGGTACACCTACAGGGAGGGCAGCATCAAGAGTCTCTGAAGGCCTGTCCTCTGTGGTATCATTGAAGCTGGTACTATAGGCTTGTGAGAAACGTGGTGCCTCCCTTCTTGCACCATGTTCAGTGATGGCACATTAGGAGCTTTGAGTTGGCCATGGTGGGAATGTTTATACCATAGAAGTCAGCAAATGCTATACACAGAGAATTAATTTTCCCTTGAAGAGGAGATTTTTTAACTCTTACCACCACACCACTACACAGTCTCCTAAAATCTGTCCTGTGTCTGGTCTCTCTTGCAGCTCTGGAGCTGAGGCTGAAGGATGGAGCCCATCACTGTGAGGGGAGAGTGGAAGCGAAGTATCAAGGAGAATGGGGCTCGGCATATACTGAGTATTGGCACCTGATATCTGCAGATATGTTGTGCAGACACCTGGAATGTGGACCTGCTGTTGATGCTCCCAGAGGGTCTTATTTTGGACCACGAGTTGGTCCCATTTGGCATTTCTATTATTTCTGCAACATTACAGAAGCAGAATTATCTTTGGCGATCAATAAATGTGTTCAATCTGATTTTAAAAACTATAATGATACCTTCTCTCATGATGAGGATGTTGGAGCAGTCTGTTCAGGTAAGGCTTGTCTGCCTTGGGAAGGGATCCCCAGCAGGAAAGACCTCAGTCTCATTTCCAGAATGACCATGGGAAAACCAGATCACAGACTTCAGAGCATCCTTGGGGGAAGACTCCAGGCACACAATGATTTTAGAGCATTATGTGCTCAAGGGGGTGTAACGGCTTGCTTGGCCCTGTAAAGGCTCCAGACCTGTGGACAGTTGGACCCTTCAGATCTCAGTGATGTCTCATAAGGGGTAGGGAGGCGAGGTCAAATGAATTAGCTATTAAATCATTATGTTTTTTGTGTTGGTTTTGACTTTACATCTCTTTTGCCTAACTTTGCTCTCTTTTGGTTACTATTTGCATGACGTCTCCGACTCCACCTCTTCGCTTTCAGCCTATGTGTGTTATGAAATCTAAAGTGTGTAGTTGGGTCTTGCTCTTTTAATCCATTAAGGCCCTCAGTGGTTTTGATTGGAAAGTTTAGTACATTTACATTTAAAATCATAATTGAAATGTCAGGACTTACTGTTGCCACTTTGTTAATTATTTTCTGTCTGTTTTGTAGTTCCCTTGTTCCTTTCTTAGTTGCTGTCTTTGTGAAGTGATTTTTCATAGTGGTAGGCTTTGACTCTTTTCTCTTCATCTTGTGTATCTCCTATACTTTTAATTGTGGTTACCTGGGAACTTGCAGCAAACAATTGACAGCTATAGCAGTCTATAATTGAAGTTAAGTACAGTTACAGTAACTTTACAGTAACACAACTTTAATGGCACACAGAAATTCTACATATTACTATTCCCACACACTTTATGAGATAGACGTCTTATTTTACTTCTTTACATATTGTATTTCAATCAGCAAATTTCTGTGGTTCTAGTTATTCTTTTATGTTTAACTTTCAATTTATAAACTAGGGGTAAAAGCAAATTATGTGCCGTAAACACACTTTTCTATATTCTGTATTTCTCTTCATATTTATCTTTATCAATGTGAGGCAAGACTAGTGGCAATGAAACTCCTCAGTTTTTGCTTTTTTAAAAAAAACCCTTAAAAAATCTCTTCTTAATTCTTAAAAGGACAGCTTGCTAGATAAAGAGTTGATGATTGGGAGGTTTTTTCCTCTAAGTACTTTGCATATGTTACCCTGCTGTCTCTGGTCTGCAAGATTTCTGTTGAGGAATCTGCTTTAGCTTGACAGGGGCTCCCTTGTATATGACAAGTTACTTTTCATGCTTTCAAAATATCTTTGTGCTGGAATTTTGATAATTTAATTACAGTGTATCTTGGTGTAGATCTCTTTGGGTTCTATCTATTTGTGACCTTTTCGGCTTCATAAATCAAGATGTCTTTTTCTCTCCCTAGATTTGGGAAGTTCTCAGTCATGATTTCTTTAAATAAGCTTTCTGCCTTGTTCTTTTTTTTCTACTAGGACTCTCACAATTCATGCATAATTTTTCTTTATGGTTTCTCATATACTGCATATGTATAATTTATTCTTTTTTTCTTTTTATTCCTCTAACAAGATACTTTAAAATAACCTGTTCTCAAGTTTTCTGATTCTTTGTTTTGCATAGTACAGTTTGCTTGAAGCACTCTATTGGATTTTTCAGTTCAGTTATTGTATTCTTGTGTTCCAGAAGTTCTGTCTGGTTTCTTTTAGCGTCTTTTATTTTTTAATTAAGCTTTTCATTTAGTTCATGTACTATTTTCCTGATGGTGTTTAGCTATCTGTTTGTGTTCTCTCGTAGTCATTGGTTTTAGAACAATTATTTTGAATTTTTTTTCAAGCAATTCATAAATCTTCATTTTTTCAGGGTAGGTTGCTGGAGCTTTACTGGTTTCCTTAAGTGGTATCATATCTTCCAGGTTCTTCATGATCTGTGTAGGCTTGCATTGATAAATGTGCATTTGAAGGAGCAGACACTTCTTCCAGAATTTACAGGCTGGTTTCAACAAATAAAGATCTACTGCCCTGTCCTCGAACTGATAGGACTGCCTCTGGTCTTGTGGTCCAGCAAAGGTGGAGTCAGGTTATGTGGCTGCTGCTGGGGGTCCTGTTGTGTCTCTGATCAGCAGGTCTGTTTGCAGGTGCGTGGATAGGTGTGGCTTTTTCTGGGTGCTGAGGATTGCCTCCCTAGTGTGGTAAAGTGAGGCTGAGCCTAGGTCAGAGTGCACTAGAATCTGCACTCACACTCATGTCCACAGTTGACAATCCTGTTGTCAGGGATACCAAATGGTGTGGTATTTGGATGTCTGGGCAGACAGGACTGCCCAGGACTATGGTGGTGCAGAGTTGATGCCACATCAGGGAGTAGCTTTGGTGTTCACAGGTCTGTTTGACGTTTGCAGGCATGTTGCTGGGGGCATACTGTTTCTGTGAGTTGGGGAATCTCCTTTTCTGTAATCTTGTTGATGTCAGATACAAATACAGAATTAGCACAATGATAGAATTAAAATCACTTAATATCACCCCTTAGAATTTTCTAAGATTCCTGTCTCAGAAGAAAAACCTATAGTAGGAACACTTTGGCAGACTGACTATCTGGTAACTTCCACTCAGAACTCACTCTCTCCTGGGTTTGTTGACAAATCCCAAGTTTTTAAAGAGAAATGTCTAGGACCACCACTTCTCTCTCCTGTGACTCTTTGAACTTACTTAATGTAACAGACACCTTTTTTCACTATTTAGGTCACCTAAGAAATTCTTGGAGTTTTTTGCCATCAAAAATTATAAAAAAAATTTGATATCATGAAAGTGGATTAGTTATAATGTCAATATTTCTTCTCTTGGGTTCTCATCCATCAATAGTTTGGCATACACACATGGATCCAGTCTTTATTTATTTACTTTAAAAATCATAATTGGAACATGATTAACTTAATAATATAAAATAATTAAATACAATTTGGGAGGGTCAAGCAGAGTGATGTGGTAAGTGGAAGTGCATGCATGCACATGTTTTCATCTACTGAGACAGTCTATGTCTTTTGGTTGATGCATTTAATTAATTTACAGTTAAAGTAGTTATCAGTGTGTATGATCCTATTACCATTTTCTTTACTGTTTCTCTGTAGGTTTATTTTCTGTGGGTCTTTTCCTTCTCTTGTGTTTTCTGCCTAGAGAAGTTAGTTTACATTAGTTGTAAAGCTGGTTTGGTGGTGCTGAATTCTCTTAACTCATGCTTGTCTGGAAAGCTTTTGATTTCTTTATCATATCTGAATGAGAGTCTTTCTGGGTAGAGTATTCTTGGTTGTAGGTTCTTCCCTTTCATCACCTTAAATAGACTGTGTTGTTCCTTTCTGGCTTGTAGAGTTTCTGTTGAGAAATCAGCTGATAGCCTGATGGGAGTCTCCTTGTTTGGTATTTGTTGTTTTTTCCTTGTTGCTTTTAATATTTTATCTCTGTCTTTAATTTTTGTCAGTTTGATTACTATGTGTCTTGGTCTGTTCCTCCTTGGGTTTATCATGCCTGGAACTCTTTGTGTTTCCTGGACTTGGTTGACTATTTCCTTTTCCATGATAGAGAAGTTTTCAGCTATTATCTCTTCAAATATTTTCTCAGGACCTTCCTCTCCTTCTGAGAAGCTGATAATGCAAATGTTGCTGTTCTCTTAGCCTGTCTTTTTTTTTTTTTTTTTCATTCTTTTTTCTATATTCTGTTCTGTGGCAGTGATTTCCACCATTCTGTCCTCCAGGTCACTTATCCTTCCTTCTGCCTCAGTTATTCTGCTATTGATTCCTTCTAGAGTATTATTGATCTCTGTTTGTTTGTTCTTTAATTCTTGTAGGTCTTTGGTAAACATTTCTTGCATCTTCTCTGTTGTTTTCCCAAGATACTGGATCATCTTTACTATCAATATTCTGAATTCTTTTTCTGGAAGTTTGCCTATCTCCACTTCATTTAGTTGTTTTTCCAGGGTTTTAGCTTGTCCCATCATCTAGGACATAATTTTCTGTGTTTTCATTGTGATTAACTTTCTGTAATATGGTTTTTGTTTTAGCTGCTGTGAGACTGTGCTTCTTCTTGTTTCTTTTGTCTGCCCTCTGATGGATGAAGCTAAGAGGCTGTGTAAACTTCCTGATAGGAGGGACTGGTAATGGGAAAAACTGGGTCTTGCTCTGGTGGGTAGGGCCTGGCTTAGTAAAGCTTTAATCCAATTATCTGCTGATAGGTGGTGTTGCACTCTTTCCTTAGTATTTGTTTGGCCTGAGGCTATCCAGCCCTGGGGTCTATTGTCTCTATGGTAGGGTTAATGGTGAACTCCAAGAGTATTTATGCCAAGGGGGACCTTCCAGTACCCCCGTCCCTGTGGTGAGCTCTGGCTGACCCATACTTCCACAGAAGACCCTTCAACACCAGCAGGTAGTTTTGGTTCAGTTGCCTGTGGGGTCACTGCTTCTTTCCTCTGAGTCTTGGCACATGTAAGATTTTGTTTGTGCCTCCAGGATTGGAGCATCTGTTTCCCCCAGTCTTGTGAAAGTCCTATAATCATATCCCATTGACCTTCAAGGCCAGATTACCTGGGGATTCCCAATCCCTTTGTGGGATGCCCAGGCTGGGAAGCCTGATGTGTTGTTCAGAACCTTCACAACACTGGGAGAACTTATCTGGTATTATTGTTTTCCAGTTTGTGGGTCACCCACCTGGCAGGTATGGGATTTGATTTTATTGTGTTGCACCTCTCCTACCACCTTGTTACGGCTTCTTCTTTGTCTTTGGACATGAGGTATCTTTTTTTTTTTTTTTTGGTGGGTTCCAGCATCCTCCTGTTGGTGGTTTTTCAACAGTTAGTTGCAATTTTGGTGTTCTTGCAGGAGATGAGTAGATGTCCTTCTACACTCTCATCTTGAGCTGGAGGCCAGATCCAGCCTTTATGATTTTCTCTACCCCAAGCCCTTTGAGGAATGCCTTGTGGGGGAGAAAACTAATCAGACTATTAACCACCCAAGTCTCAGGAAAGCTTTCTAACTTTGTTTGGATGATAGGTCTCTAGTCTCTCATAACCATTTAGCTCTAGGTTGGTTTTGTTCTTCATATCTCTGCACTCACCTTTTAGTGCTCACACATTATGCATTATTTCCTTGGGTCTAGGCTCCTAAAGGGCTTCCCTTATGGCTCGGATGGTAAAGAACCCACCTGTAATGCAGGAGACCTGGGTTCAATACCTGGGTTGAGAAGATCCCCTAGAGAAGAGAATGGCTACCCACTCCAGTATTCTTGCCTGGAGAATCCAATGGACAGAGGAGCCTGGTGGGCTACAGTCCACGGGGTCATGAAGAGTTGGACATGACTAGGTGACTAAGCACACACACAGAGGCCCTGTGGAGGAATTATTTTTCCAACCGATGCTAAAATATACTTTCTTGGTGTTCAACCATTTCAGATAATCTGTCTTGGGTCCTGTAGTTTCCCATCCCCTACATAGGAAGTTCACATTTCTAATCAACCTCCAAGTATACGTTGTTGGGATTCAGTCATTCCAAACTGTCCCTGCAAGTCCCTCTGGATTTCTCTTCAGAAACTTGGTCATGAAAAATCATGACACTAACTGTCAAGTTATTTCTCCATGTATCACTCCTAGAAAATAAAAGCTTTCACAGCATTGCCTCTGACATATTGGTTCCAGTTTTCAAGCCAGGATCATGAATACCCACTGCCTTTATTTTTTGTTTTTCTTAGGATTTGTGCATCTGGCTAGAGGGGATGGACCCTGCTCAGGGCAAGTTGAAGTACGTTCTGGAGAAGACTGGATCCCAGTGTCTGATGGGAACTTCACACTTTCCAATGCTCAGGTCATCTGTGCAGAGCTGGGATGTGGCAAGGCTGTGTCTGTCCTCGGACATATGCCCTTTACAGAGTCAGATGGCCGGGTCTGGGCTGAAGAGTTCGGGTGTGAGGGGGAGGAGCCTGAGCTCTGGGTCTGCCCCAGAGTGCCCTGTCCAGGGGGCACGTGCCACCACAGTGGAGCTGTTCAGGTTGTCTGTTCAGGTGAGATGCAGATCAGGACTTAACCTCCCTGCACACTCTGTTGGGGGAAGAAAATCATGAGATTTTGATGAAATCTTGCTTTGTTCTGTTTTTTCTTTTTTTCTGCCAGCATACACAGAAGTTCGGCTCATGACAAACAGCTCCTCTCAGTGTGAGGGGCAGGTGGAGATGAATATTTCTGGACGATGGAGAGCGCTCTGTGCCTCCCACTGGAGTCTGGCCAATGCCAATGTTGTCTGTCGTCAGCTTGGCTGTGGATTCGCCATCTCCACCCCAGAAGGAGCAGAAGGAAATGATCAGCTCTGGAAAGCCCGATTTCACTGCTGGGGGGATGAGTCCTTCCTGTGGGAGTGCGCTGTGACTGCCCTGGGTGATCCTGACTGTTCCCATGGCAACACAGCCTCTGTGATCTGCTCAGGTAGGAGAGAAGGAAGGGTTACTGGTACTCAGCATGTTCCTGGAGTAAGATGTCCTCAAGGGCAGAGAGTGAGGGGAAACAGGCTTCAAAGGTTAGAACTTTCATGATGAAATGCAGGTTCCATCGTTATTCATTCAATTTTCAAATTGGGGCGAGAAGCATTAAGGGGAATACTTCTGTTAAGTAAACATAGCTATTTAAGTATAATCAAAGAGAATAATATATAAGCAACAAGTGTATACTTCAGTCAGGGATTTTTCACCACTAAACCATGTGAGAATTACTATACACGTCAGATCCCTTTACTAGGTTCCTCAGCATGTATTTGAATATTTTCAAATTCAAATTCAGGAAATTTTAATTTCACAGATTATTATTAACTGCTTTTTTTTTTTTGAAGTACATCTGAACCTGAAGTTGTTTTGGCTTTATAGTAGAAAAGTTTAATTACAAATTCAGTATTTTTAATAAGCCAGAATTATTCAGATTTTCTATTGGTTCTGATGTCATTTTAACTGGAGCTATTCAAAGAATTTCTCCACTTTAGCTAAATGCTTAGAAGTCTTGGCAAAGAGGGAGTGATGTCAGCATCATGGTGGTATAAGATATCCCTCTTATTTGCTTCTCTTTATAACAACTAATTAACCATATATCCATGATTAAAAGAGCCTCTGTGAAAGTTGTGGGATCCAAAATATTCTACCATGGGACCAGGAGGATGGTCACCCACCTAGGTATCCAGTAATAGGCATGTAGACATTGGTAGAGCTTGGACCCAGTAGGAGCTGGTGGACCTGTCCCAGCCACCTGGGCCGTGGTCATGGAAAACCTGGAAAAACCTGGTTAGTGCTTACCAGGTTAGACACTTATGAAAATTTTTAGATGTCCAGGATTCCTGATGGGAAATGTCAGTACTCTGTTGAAGCAACCCCCTCCCTGTCCCCGCCAAAAGTTTGAATGATTGGAGAGGATGAAAGGATTTTGCCGATGCTGCCCCTCAACCCAAGGCGTGTGTGTGTTAGTCGCTCAGTCATGTCTGACTCTTTGTGACCCCATGGACTGTAGCCTGCCAGTCTCATCTGTCCATGGGATTCTCTAGGCAAGAATACTGGAGTGGGTCACCATTTCCTTCTTCAGGGGATCTTCCCAATCCAGGGATTGAACGCAGGTCTTCTGCACTGCAGGCAGATTCTTTACTGTTTGAGCTAATAGGGAAGCTCAACCCCAAGGTGACAAAGCATAAATTTGAACTAGCTGGTGGTGTTTCTCCAATGGGGAAAAAGGAGAGCAGTGAGCTACTGCCCACTCTATACTTCCAGGTAATCAATTTCTCTCCACCAGAACCCAGAATTCTGGGTCTGAACCTCCATGATTGCAGAGAGAAGATGTGAAAGGTCATTAAGAATGCCAAAGGGTGTAAAAGGGATGTGCTGACTATGCTCAGGTTTCAGCAAGAAGCCCATCTTTAAGCCTCTAGGGGAATGCCAGTCAAAGATTTCCATCCTGGGTCTATGGCTACTCCAGTTTCCTGAGTACTAAATTCATACTCACTGCCACCCTCCCAACTGCTGCTTTTGTGTATTCCCAAGTGTGGAGGTGAAAACAAACTCCAGTAAATGGAGTGATCTCAAAAAAACAGACGAGGGGCAGTGGGCAAGGAGGTAACCGCAGACTTGAGCTGTAGCACAGCAGAAGAGAGGTTCCCAGCAACTGGGTGAGTTGTAAGGACCAGAGAAGACCTAAAATCTAAGGTTTCTGCTACAAGAGGGAGCAAAACATGTAGAGCAAGTGAGTCTATACAAGCTCAGAGAAGTGTGTATACCACCTGAAGGTAACTAGTAGATATGATGGAATGTCTTCTACATCTAAGCAAAAGCAGAAATACAAAATTTCAAGGATCTTGAAGAATTAAAGTAATCATCACCAAAGAGTAACAGTAACTTTGAAAAACTGACAAAGACACACGTCAATGACATGAAGCTTTGTGATCTAGCTTATAAAGAACCCAACATAGCTGTTTTGAGGAAACTGAATGAGCTATAAGACAAGAGAGAATGGCAATTCAATGAAATCAGGGAAACAATAGGTGAACAAAATGAGAAATTCAGCAAAGAGAAGCTATAGAAGAACCAAACAGAAATTCTGGTGCTGAAGAATTAATTTAATAAATAAAATGGGAAAAAAATGCAATAAACAGCATCTACAACAGAGTAGATAAAATTCAGGATAGAATAAATGACTATAGGATACAATCTTTGAAATAATCAGTCAGTGGAGAACCAATGAAATGAGTAAAAAGGAACAAAGATAGTCAACATGATGTGTGGGTCTCCATCTAACATACAAATATTAGAATAATTGGGATTTTTGAAGAAAAGAAGGAGAAGGTGGGAGAAAGTTTATTTAAATGAATTATAGTGATAAACTTTTCAAACTTGGGAGAAGTTGGAAATTCAAGTTGACAAAGTTAATAGATCACTCCATTATCTGAATGCAAATAAACTTTCCCCAGCAATGCTGCAATTAAATTGCAAAAGAAATCAAAGAAAGAATCATAAAAGTAACAGAAAAAATATTGACTGAAGTGGGATAACTAAATGATTATAGTGTGCTGTTTAAAATTTGAAACTCTACTGGTAATATCCAGGACCAGCTTGTTCACATTGTTTAGGGTTGCTGATTGTTGACTTACATATGGTTTATCCATGTACACTGATTGTCTTCACTAATGACCAATGAGGCATGACCTGGATATAAGTGGTATTTCTTTATGCTAGCAAAAAGTAGGGAAAAATTGGAAAATTTCCACTAATTATAGTATGAAGACTGTTAAATATGTAGGAAGATACTTAGGAAAATATCTAAAGGGTTTTACATCAAAAATCACAGAACATCTTAAAAAAAAGTATACTATGTTCATGGATTAGAAAACTGAATAGTCTTGTCAATTCTTTTCACTTGATCTATACAATCAATCTAATCCTAATCAAAATCCAAGTGATATTTTTGTAGAACTTTATAAGCCAATTCCAAATTATATATTTAAATGGGAAGGAACTGGAATGGACAAAACAAGTTTGAAAAAGAAGGGCAAAAATGGAAGTAATCTAACCTCAAGTTTCCTACAAAGTATCCAAAGCAATGTGGTCATTGAATAAAGTTAGCTAAATAGATCTACAGAACATAATAAAGTTTAGTAATAGACCCATAGCCAACTATAATAAGTTAGTTGTCTACAAAGGCATAGAGGTATTTCTAGGTGGAAAATAAAATCTCTTCAAAGGATGATTGGCTAACTGAATATCTTCATGGGAAAAAATGAACCACAATCCTTTTTTTCACACCAGAAGCCTCATTTCTTCCATCCTCACCCTGTAGAAAACCCTCAGTCCATCAGAGTAGCTCAAGTAAATGATCATTCCCATATAAAAGTTTATTGTCAAACTTGTAGAAGAAAGCATAAGAAAAATTATCATGATCCTGGAGTAGGCAAACAATTCCTAACGCATTTACTATAAAAAATGAGAAATAATTATCATCAAAATTAAAACATTTTGCTTTTTGAAAGAAAACATTAAAAAAATGAAAAGGCACTTAACTAATAGAAATTAATTGCAATACATATATCTAATAAAGGACCTATGTCCAGAATAAGTGAAAAATTTTTAACAGAAAAGTAAAAAAAGAAATACCCAGTTTTTACATGGGCAAAAGATTAAAAAAGACAATCCTCCAAAGTTGATATGCAAAATGGCCAGTAAGTGAATGAAAAGATTCTCAATATCACTATTATTAAGGAAATTCAAATTAAAGTATGAAAAGATATAAATCCTTAAGCTAGAATAGCTAGAGTTAAGGAGCCTGACAATGCCAAGTTTGGGGAAGGACATTGATCCACTAGAACTCTCATATATTGCTGATGATAATGTAAAAGAAAATAACTTTTTTCAAAAAATCAAGCTTTTTTAAGGTAGACATACACTTACTATGTTATCAAAATTTCTGTTACCTAAGAGGAATGAAAACTTATGTCCACAAAATTTTAGGCAAGGAAAGTCAGAACATCTTTCTTCAAAAGAGCAAATAATTATAAACCACTCTAATTTTCTTCAAAAGAAAGGAGAACAAGCTATGGTATATTCATACAATGTAAGACTTTAAAAATAGAAAGAATAAGCTACTCATAAAATCTCAAAGCATGCTAAGTGAGGTCATGTAGAACGGATTCCATATTTTATGGTTTTATTAAATTCTAGAAAAATGCGATTAACCCACTGTGATAGAAGACAGATAAATATTTCCTGGGTCTGGGTTTGTGGGGTCTGGGTTTGCAATTTTTATTGATTGCAAAAATCATGTAGGAACTTTTTGGGTAATCCTATGTATTCTGAATTTTAATTGTGTTAGTGGTTACACTGGTACATGCAATTGTCAAAACTTATGAAAACATACTCAAAATAAATGTATTTTATTGCATGAAAATTATACCTCACTAAAAGACCCTGATGCTGGGAGGGATTGGGGGCAGGAGGAGAAGGGGGTGACAGAGTATGAGATGGCTAGATGGCATCACCGACTTGATGGGCGTGGGTTTGGGTAGACTCTGGGTGTTGGTGATGGACAGGGAGGCCTGGCGTGCTGCGATTCATGGGGTCACAAAGAGTTGGACACGACTGAGCAACTGAACTGAACCAAACTGAACTGACAGAGGTTTTAAAGGCTTCCCCAGTGGTTCAGCAGTAGAGAATCCGCCTGCAATGCAGGAGCCTCAGGAGACAGTTTCGATCCCTGGTTCAGGAAGATTCCCCTGGAGGAGGACATGGCAACTCACTCCAGTATTCTTGCCTGGAGAACCCCATGGACAGAGAAGCCTGCTAGGCTACAGTCCATAGGGTCACAAAGAGTTGGACATGACTGAAGCAACTTAGCACGCACTCACACACAGAAGGTTTTGCTATTTGTCTTTTGGTTTTAGCTTAATGCTACTTTAGTTTAAAAAAAAAACACACAACACAAAACCTAAAACAGAACATATTTTATAAAGACTTTAGCATTTTGAAAAACTTTTGGATCTCACTTTTTGTATAAAATATGATCTGCCTTGGTAAATGACCTGTAAGTGCTTGGAATAAGGTGTTATTTCGTAGTTTCGATTTTCATGTTTGTTAAATCACACCATTCAAATGTTCTAAATATTTAGTGACTGGTTTTGCTGGTTTGCTCTAAAATTAACTGAGATTGAGATAAGGTGTTTTCTGGTTACTGTTGCCCTGTAACAAATTACTTCAAAATCTAGTCACTTAAAGAGACATTTTATTTTGCATAACACAGATCACTGTGTATTTTTTCCTTCCGCTTCCAATCATATTTTCCTCACTTTCTTTTAAGTACTCATTGACATCATTGCCCAAACCCATCAGGTTTCTGCCAGTAATTCCCTCCACCCTTTTAGATTCTGCCTGTTACTTTGTTCCAAAAGCAATGTCACATGTTTTAGGTGACATCCCAAATTTGAGTCATTATGGATAAAGATGCTATGCATATGCATATACAAGTCCTTTTAAAGACAAGTACTTCATTTGTCTTTAGTAAATACTTGGTATTAATAATATGGTAAGTATAAGTGTTTGGTTACTATTGCTGCATGACAAAATGTCCCTCAGAATTCAGCAACTTAAAATGCCTTTAAAAAATTTATTTATTTATTTATTTTATATATTGTAGTGGTTTTTGCCATACATTGACATGAATCAGCCATGGATTTACATGTGTTCCCCCTTCCCGATCCCCCCTCCCGCCTCGCTGTCTCTCCCATCCCTCTGGGTCTTCCCAGTGCACAGCCCTGAGCACTTGTCTCATGCATCCAACCTGGGCTGGATTAAAACGCCTTTTTATCTCTGTTCATGATTTCCTGCGCAAGGAATTTGGGACGAGCTCAAATTTGCATTCTGTCTTGGGGTCTTATCAGGTCGCGGTCCGATATCAGATGGGGCTGACTGCATCTGGGGACACAACTGAACTGGAGATCCAGGATGGTTCATGAACAAACCTGGCAACTGGGTTGAACTGAATGACCAGAGACCTGCACATGACAGTATCTGCAGGACAGAGCCTTAACAGGGCAGACTTGCCTTAAAGCAAATTCCTAAGCGATTACACAGGAGGTTGTCCGAGTTTTCAGACCCAGTGCTGAAAATCAAGCAGTGCTACCTTCACTCCCTTCTTTTGCTTACTAGGAATTCACGAAGGTCAGCAGAGCTTCAAGGGAAAGAGGCATAGACCTTGCTTATTGGTGCCTGTGAGCGTGCTAAGTTGCTTCAGTTATGTCCAACTCTATGCGACCCTGTGGACAGTAGCCTGACAGGCTCCTCTGTCCATGGGGATCTCCAGGCAAGAATACTGGTGGATGTAGCATCAAAGATTTTGTGAATATGTTTAAAAACCGCCAACCCTAAGAACTCTCTGATCATTGCTGTTTCTGCAGGAAACCAGACCCAGGTGCTGCCCCAGTGCGACTCCATGTCCGAACCAGCAGACTCTGCATCCTCAGAGGAGAGCGCCCCCTACTGCTCAGGTGAGGGTCCCACAGGGCAGAAGACCCTTTCCGTTCCCCAGGTCCCCATTGTCCCATTTCTCTCTCCTCAGACAGCAGACAGCTCCGCCTGGTGGACGGGGGCGGTCCCTGCGCCGGAAGAGTGGAGATCCTGGACCAGGGCTCCTGGGGCACCATCTGTGATGACAGCTGGGACCTGGACGATGCCCACGTGGTGTGCAGGCAGCTGGGCTGTGGAGAAGCCCTCAACGCCACGAGGTCTGCTCACTTTGGGGCGGGATCAGGGCGCATTTGGCTGGACGACCTGAACTGCACAGGAAAGGAGTCCCACGTGTGGAGGTGCCCTTCCCAAGGCTGGGGTCGTCATGACTGCAGACACAAGGAGGACGCGGGGGTCGTCTGCTCAGGTCTGTGCTGCACGCTGTCCACAGGCTGGGGGATGGGGTGGGGCCCTGGAGGACGGAGGTCTAAGCGCTGATTAAAGTGAAACCGCTCAGTCGTGTCCGACTCTTTGCGACCCCGTGGACTGTAGTCTACCCGGCTTCTCTGTCCATGGGATTTTCCAGGCCAGAGTACTGGAGTGGGTTGCCACTTCCTTCTCTAAGGGATCTTCCCAAGCCAGGGATCGAACCCGAGTCTCCCGCATTGTGGGCAGATGCTATACCCTCTGAGCCACCAGGAGTGCTGATGGAGAGATGCTTAAAGGACCAGAGTAGGAGGCTTCCTCCCATGGAGCCTGTCTTTGCAGCAGAGCTGAAAACGAGGTGCTTTCACTTCCTCCTGCAGCAACTGAGATTCTGGTCCTTTCTTCTCAGCAGTGTTTCCTGGCAGAGCCGTTTCTTAGTTTCCACATGAAAGCAGGGCTCTCTCTTCAGTTCCCGGCTGTAGTACAGTCTGGAGATCCTGGTGATGATGTAATGAAAGCACAGATTTACTCTGTTCAGTTGTGTTTGCTAGGAGTCTGATGAGAGTCTCTGAGGGCTAACATCTTGGTGTCCACAGGGCTGGGTTCTTCCTGGAATCTCTGGGGAGGACTCCTTTCCCAGCCTTTTCTGGTTTCTATTCGGTCTCATTCCTTGGCTTGGAGCCCTCTTTCTTCTTTAAACAGCATTCCCTTCTCTAACCATTCTTCCATGTCTCATCTCCCTCTAAATACAGTCAAAAAGAGAATTTCGATGTTCAGATGGTAGGTCTAAGGATGTGATTACACTGGGTTTACTTGGTTAATACATGATATTGCAGGTTAATCTCACCATTCCAAGATTCTAGTGTTAATAACATCTATAGAGTTCCCTTTGAAATACAAGGGATTCATTTAGGACATGGACATATCTAGGGTTCATTATTCAATCTACCACCTCTTTGTCCACATCACATCCTTTCACACACTGTTTTAGCAGTTTTTTTTTTTATCAGGAAGCAGGATTCAGCTACCTCTCCCTGTAGGTGCCCAGGTTGGTCTTCCTCTGATGTTCACATCAGTTACATCATTGTGGTAGAAATATTTAGAAAGATAGACACAAATGGACAAAATAGGGTTAAAAGGAGAAACATTTGTCTTGCTACCTTGTAGATATTTCCTCAGATGAGGTAGTGGTGTGTGGTCACAGTTTCTGGGAGAGAGGAAAACCCAGAGCACTGAGTGCAGTGCTCACTGTGTTCCATCCCCTCCCTTTCAATCTTAGAGTTCCTGGCCCTCAGGATGGTGAGCGAGGACCAGCAGTGTGCTGGGTGGCTGGAAGTTTTCTACAACGGGACCTGGGGCAGTGTCTGCCGCAGCCCCATGGATGACATTACCGTGTCCATCATCTGCAGACAGCTTGGCTGTGGGGACAGTGGAAGTCTCAACACTTCTGTTGGTCTCAGGGAAGGTTCTAGACCCCGGTGGGTAGATGGAATCCAGTGTCGGAAAACTGACACCTCTCTCTGGCAGTGTCCTTCTGATCCTTGGAAATACAGTTCATGCTCTCCAAAGGATGAAGCCTACATCTCGTGTGGAGGTGACTTACTGTCTGTTTCTATGTGTCTGTCCCAACTCTGTAGGACGTTGTTAGTGCGATTCTGTGTTTTCAGATCTACTTGATGAGTTTAAGCTGAGTCTATAAAATGAATTTTGGATCAAGGTTATTTAATCCACATATCTCAATATTGTTTCAATGGGAAAAGTAAAGAAATCTGAGCTGACGGCAGTTTATGTGGAAAATACCACAGAGATGAGGTGCATGTGTCCAAGCAAAAAACAACTGGAAACCATGTCACAGGAAGTCTGTAATCAAGCTAATTAGCAGAAATGCCAGAGTAGATGTAGCCTAAGTTTTGACCTGAGGCTTTGAAGGACTTTCCCATGGAAGGAGGAGATTCACCAAAGCTGCTCCAGGGGGCAGGACACTGATGATAAATGGAGAAAGGTTTGGGCTCACCCTCAGTAAAAGTAATGTAAGGGAATCTCATCTCTGGGATGATACCCCAGGAAAAGAACAATACTACCAGGTAAAAGAACACTGGTGGCACAGAGGATGGCCAGTCATCCTTCCTTCTGTCCCCTTTTGCCTGTCTTTGGGTCTCTTCCTTGAATCAGCCACACTTGCTCCTGTTGGGCTTGTAGCCTGCTTGGCACCAGCGAATATGTATCCTATCCACTGGCTTGTTTCATGCTTAGAGAAAGACCAGTTCCTTTCTTTTTCATCTAAATTACAAAGACATCGCTTACTTGTAAGCAAACATCTAACTTGTGAAAAAGATAAATGACCACTTCCCATGACCACTTGTCCACTTGTATCCTCTTGAAGTAAGCAAGATTAATGGACTGATATATGTCATTTTTCAGATTCCTCCATCATTATATTTATATCCAAACACATGTACCATAAAAGTTTATGTTAATGTTGTATTGTTATTGATTTTTATCAATTAGGATTATATCATACACATTATTGTTAACTTTGCTTTTTATCACGTAAAAACATATCATGAATATTCCTCCAGTTTCTCTCTTTGTAAAACAATGACATAATATTTCATTAATGGGAGGTTGATACTCCAGTTCATATTACCATTTGCCTATTTACTGGTGCATGGATACATGCTCAGTTGCTAAGTCCTGTCTGATTATTTGTAACCCCACTGACTGTAGCCCACCAGTCTTCTCTGTCCATGGGATTTTCCAGGCAAGAATACTGGAGTGGGTTGCCATTTCCTCCTCCAGGTAGTTCCATTGCTTTTAATTATTTTCTCCACAACAAAGAATTTTATAGTAAGCATTTCATACAAATATCTCTATATATTGCTGAGTTTATTAGGATTACTCCCCAGTAATATTATTAGATCAAAGGATATGCAGGTATTATCACATGTACATAGACACATACAAATATTTTAATAGATATTGTCAAATTACTTAGAAAGTATTGGACTATTTTTTTCATATCTAGGTAGAAAATGCCAGGATGTTTCAATAACTTGACTATTAAACTAAAGCTATATCATAGAGAAGCTCCAAGATCAATAAACTTGTAAGAGCTCATAAGTCTCATCCTAAAACATTTCAGGTCTAAAATGAGTGACAGTTGCTTTGCTCCTGGTTTCTTTCACCTTCCTTCCTTCCCCTTGTCATTTTCTTACTTCCTTCTTTTGCAGTTTCACAGTGTTTTCCCTTCGTTCAACCTTTTGTTCTCTGCCCCTTTGTCCCCTCATTTCATATATACATACACACACACACAGACACACAGACACACAGACACACACACACACACACACACACACACATGCACCATTAGGGCGTACCCTGGATGATATGTTAGGAATTGCCTGAAATCCACAGCTGGGGGGCATGGGGCAATAGATATTTCCAAGACAGAAGCTCACTCCCTTCCTTGCCTTTCTCTCCTCTTCTCTTTTTCCTGTTCCTATGGAAGGTTGAAGGGATATTAAGCTATAAGAACTTATTTTGATGATAATGTTCTATGATCAAGCACAATGAATTGAGAGGTAGTGAGGTTTCCAGTTCTGTACTTGCAAGCATCCAAAAGAGTTCTTTATATCATTTTTAGAGATATCTTACTGCTTAGGTTAGGATGTTTGATAATATAATATGAAAAGGCTATGCCGGTTCTGATATTTTATGTCAAATACTGTGTATTTGTTGGTTTTCTTGCACTATTTTGATTTTATGTTTATTTTCTTTGTCTTCAATATTTTCATGTGTCTCTTTTGGTCCTATGTTTCCTTTTTCCTCTATGTCCTCTTTATAGCTTTTCTCAGTTTATTTACTTGAGTTTTCTGGACACTGACTATTCAGCTATTTGTCTACTTATCTATCTTTCTCTAAATTCTACTTGTTCTGTTCCTTTAAAAAAAGTGTCCTCTTCCTATAGTAATCTTTTTGCTTGTCCATATATCATACTGAAAAATAGATTAAAAAGTTTAGAATCTATTTAATTTCCCTTTAAAAAGTATATATGTAATATTGAATACAAATCATTTCTGTGAATCTGGACTTATTTTTAAAATATCTCTTTTCTGTTACATCAAACAATTAATATTAATTTGTATTTCCTGCATTGCATTACTGGTTAGTAAGAATTCAGAGAGATTCTAGTTCACCAGATTTTATTCATCTATTAATCATTAAATAAATATCAAGCCCCATCACAGTATTTAGAGAAAGTTCTCTATACATACATAGTGAATGAATGCATACAATGTGCCAAGACTATCCTAATAGCCAAAAATGAATGACGTATACAAAGTTCTTCCTGGAATTTTCCTTCAGATTGTGTCTGTGGGAGTGTGTATGTATTTGCAGATATCTGTGTATGTATTTGTTGTGGGATGTGGGATTTGTTGAGAGTGATAAACAAGTAAAAACATGAAGTAATTTCAGCTGGTGATCAGATGCAGTGAATGTCTCAGTCCAGTAGATCAGGAGCCTGTGTTTACACCTATCAGTTGGACTGAGCCAAGGACCTTAGACAGTCTTGTTTGGACAAGACCACGCCCAGCTGTCCCTGATCCACTGTTTCCCTGTTGTTTGCAGGAAGAAGACCCAAGAGCTGTCCAGCTGCTGCCCCCTGCACAGGTACGTCAGCCCGCCCCCTCCCCAGGGCCGCAGGGGCTCCTTCCTCCCACCAGGGGAGTCACAGGAGGGGCTGCTGCCTTTTCAGACAGAGAGAAGCTCCGGCTCAGGGGAGGAGACAGCGAGTGCTCAGGGCGGGTGGAGGTCTGGCACAGCGGCTCCTGGGGCACCGTGTGCGATGACTCCTGGAGCCTGGCAGAGGCCGAGGTGGTGTGTCAGCAGCTGGGCTGTGGCCCGGCCCTGGAAGCCGTGCGGGCCGCGGCGTTTGGCCCTGGAAACGGGAGCATCTGGCTGGACGAGGTGCGGTGCGGGGGCCGGGAGTCCTCCCTGTGGGAGTGTGCCGCGGGGCCCTGGGGGCAGAGCGACTGCAAGCACGAGGAGGACGCCGGGGTGAGGTGCTCTGGTGAGTGAGGGGCGCGGGTCCGCCCTGGTGAGTGAGGGGCGCGGGTCCGCCCTGGTGAGTGAGGGGCGCGGGTCCGCCGTGGTGAGTGAGGGGCTCGGGTCCGCCCTGGTGAGTGAGGGGCGCGGGTCCGCCCTGGTGAGTGAGGGGCGTGGGGTCCGCCCTGGTGAGTGAGGGGCGCGGGGTCCGCCCTGGGTGAGTGAGGGGCGTGGGTCCGCCCTGGGTGAGTAGAGGCGTGGGTCCGCCCTGGTGAGTGAGGGGCGCGGGTCCGCCCTGGTGAGTGAGGGGCGCGGGTCCGCCCTGGTGAGTGAGGGGCGCGGGTCCGCCCTAGTGAGTGGAGGACAAGTGTGAGTTTGTATCCAGAAGCACTTCCTGGGATAACCTGCTGCTTTGTGCCCTGGCTCCAGGAAAAGCTATTATCTGATTTCCTGGGATCTGGGAGAGAATGATATACCCATAAAGACAGATGTAACTGATGGCTTTTCCCGATCAACTCAGTACAATAATCTATTTTTTCCTTCTCTCCCAGTGAGAGAACAGCTGTTCCCTCCAGCCATGGAAGTAAGTGTTCTGCTGCTCTGAGCAGTGTGATTGAGGAGATCCCCATATTTTCAGGTACCTGCACTATATATCTTTATATTTCAACAGAACTACCTGTATCAGTACAGAAAACCTTAACGATCTCATGTTTACAATTCTGTTACAATTCAGTGGCAACTGGAGTCCTCCAGAGCTTTAACAACTTTCATCCTGTAAAAATCCTCTGGAACCAGAATGAGAAGACACTTGACATAGCTCAGGGAAAGACCTCTGTTGATCACATTTTGGGGTTGAGGCAAACCCATTGTATCTTAATGGTGACTTCATGGTCTTAAAGACACAGAAGAGGACCAGTATAAGGACAGAGGGGTTCCTTTGGACTTATGACCCTCCTAAAACCCTATGGTCCACTTTGACTCATCTCCAGCCCCTGGCATCCTCTCCCTTCCCATGATCATCTGCATCATCCTCGGAGCCCTTCTCTTCATGATCCTCATCATTCTGGGGATTCAACTACACAGATGGAGAGCAGAGCGCCAAGGTGGGCCTTAGGGATGCCAAATGATCTGGAAAGTGGTGGGGAAGGAATTGAGTCTGTTGTGACATAAAGAAAGTGCACAAGTATTGGTCTCTGTGCTCATTATCTGGTAGAATCCCACCTTTTCTACAGTAGACAACAGGATTTGAAAGAATGGAATCTTTGGTCCCGGGTGAATGTAAAATTTCTTGAGAATTATGACTTCCTGTGTGAACAGTGCCAGTGGATATTGAGTGTGAGATCAAGGTCAGGGTCAGGAAATCTAGTTCTGTTCCATGTAGCTAAGGAAGGAGCCTGAGCAGCCCAGAGTGGTTCCCCAAGGGGGAACGTTGGAGAGCACTGAAGGCTTTGGCTGTTGATAAAGTGGTTAACTCCACGGTCAGTCTCTAACTCATGCCACTTTCCCAGAGTTATCTGATTTTGAAGATGCTGTTGATGAAGCTGTGTACCAGGAGATTGATGACATCATAAACCCAGGGAAGAAGGACCTGTTAGACAGCCAAGGTAAGTCCCATGCCCTCCCGTCTGCTCATGAGCTGGCTGTATGTTATTTTCAGCAGAGACCGAATCTTACTAGTCCAACTTCACATGGAGTTTCAAGCCTTCTCTCTACAAGTTTGAGGTCTCAATATTTCCTCTAAACTATGACAGCAGGCATCCTACCATGACAGGGGAAAGGTTACCGTTTTTCTATGATGATTTTCTCCCTACCAGGTAACCTGTCTGATGACTCAGCAGCTAAGCTGCTGTATTACACAGGGGACGATGGAGAGGATGGAGGCTCTGACTCTGCCTCAGGTAGCAGATCTTTCCTTGGATGGTGGGGATGTGGAGGAGGAATCTTGTCTGAGAATCTCTTCCTGTGATTAAGATGGGAAAGATCTCTTTTCTCTAGTTCACAACAACTTTTTCCCCCTCTTGCCCACTCCATGACTTCAGAAATGGAAAGATCAGACCTAGTTCTCTGTGTTCACAGCCACTTCTACCCAGTTACAGACTGAATATGTAGCGCTTCACAGGTGGCGCTAGTGGTAGAGAACCCGCCTGCCAATGCAGGAGAGATAAGAGATGCTGGTTTGATCCCTGGGTCAGAAAGACCCTTTGAAGAAGGACATGGCAACTGACTCCAGTAGTCTTGCCCAGAGACTCCCCATGAACAGAGGAGCCTGGCAGGCTACAGTACAAGGGGTCTCAAAGAGTTGGACACAACTGAAGCAACTGAACATGCATGTATCTAATAGTATATTATTATCTAATGTACCATTAAAGATTTTAAGACCATTTAAAAAAATCTGAAACTGATAAACTCAAAATTGTGTGGCTAAAGAGAACATTGGAAACTATAGTTGGATCCAGAATCAGTCTGATATTTTAATCATTTTATGGATTTTTGTATGTATTGAGACAAAAATATTGCTGTTGATAAGCCCTGGAATATATGGAGTGATCAGTGCTGGTACTTACCAATTACCAGAAACTCTTACTTACATGGAACTGGAGAAAGGAGAATGTCCTCTCTGGATCTTCTCCAGATAGTGAAGATGGACAACCCCTGGAGGTGAGACCCTAAGGCCAACCAAGGTCTAGAAGGCACTGAAACCTCAGTGTCCTGTGACTGGGATGGTGGGATATCCTGTCTCTGAATAACAGATGTCCAGGATCCCCCTCCCACCAGCTCTGTATCTCCCAGAGCTTCAGCGGTCACACGGACACCTGGTTTCTCTTGGTCCAGATTCATCCTCCCCTGTCACTGATATGTGCACAATATGTGTGACAAATCTGTACCATATGCTTGATATAGTATCTGAAACTCATAGCATAATAGCTTTTGTTGATGCTTTATGATACGAGAGACCTTGTTAGAAAAATATGATTGACCCTGATATATTGAAATAGTTAAAAGATTTAAACAATTTCTGAGCACATTGAGATCAAATACATGCCTTTGACATGATCTTGGAATATAGAGTCTATATTTATCAGTTGTTTGAACTTCTGCATTAGAAGGGACTTAGGGCATCACTTAGTCCAACACATACTTTGCTATTCACCTAAGTCTGTGTCTGTTTACAGATCCTCTGAGACAGCATATCAACACCACAGGAAATGGTTATGATGATGTTGATGAGTTACCTGTTCCTGTAAATCCGTTATTCCCTGGGATGAATGAGAATAACATTTCCCCAGAGGACAGAGGTGGTGCCAGTTATTCCCAGACAAGTGAGTTGACAGCTCAGTAGTCTGACTTCATCATGTGGAGATGAGTTTTGACAAAAACCATATTGTAAAGTAATTAGCCTCCAACTAATAAAAATAAATGGAAAAAAATAGTCAGTTTTTCTTGTTGTCAGAATTGGGGTAGCCTCTTATACCTAGACGGGCTTCTCAGGTGGTGCAGTGATAAAGACTCCACCTGCTAATGCAGGAGACACAAGAGGGTGTCTTGTGTCTTGATAGGGTTTGATCCCTGGGTTGGGAAGATTCCCTGGAGGAAGGCATGGCAACCCACTATAGTATTCTTGCCTGGAGAATCCCATGGACAGAGAAGCCTGGCAGGCTACAGTCCATGGGGTCACAAAGAGTCGGACATGACTGAGCAGGCTCACACACACAGAGAAAGGAGAATGCCTTCCTGGATCTTCTCCAGTTAGTAAAGATGGACAACCCCTGGAGGTGGGATACTAAGGTCAACCAAAGGCTAGAAGGGACTGAAACCCAGGCGTCCTATGACTGGGATGGTGGAATATTCTGTCTCTGAGTAACAGATGTACAGGATCCCTCTCTTACCAGCTCTGTGTCTCCCAGAGTTTCAGAGAGCACACGGACACCTGGGTTCTCTTGGTTCAGATTCATGTTCCCCAGTCATTGATATGTGCATAGTATGTATTACAACTCTGTATCACATGCTCAAAAAGAGTACCTGAAGCTCATAGCATTATAGATTTTGTTGATTCTTTATGATATGAGAGACCATAGTAGAAAAATATAATTGACCCTGATATATTGGAATATTTAGAAGGTTTAAATGATTTCTGAGCACACTGAGATCAAATACAAGCCTTTGACAGCCCTGGAATATGGAATATATATTTATCATTTATTTGAATCTCTGCCTTAGATGGGACTTGGAGCATCACTTAGTCCAACTCATATTTTGCTTTTTCACCTAAGTTCTTGTCTGTTTTCAGAGCCTCCAGGACAGAACATCAACACCATAGGAAATGGTTATGATGATGTTGATGAGTTACCTGTTCTGTAAATCCTTTATTCCCTGGGATGAATGAGAATAACTTTTTCCCAGATGATAGAGGTGGTGCCAGGTATTCCCAGACTGGTGAGTTGACAGCTCATTAGCCTGACTTTATCATCATGGAGAAGATGAGTTTGACTCACCAACAGTCATTGTTTCTTAACTATCAAAACTGGGGTAGCCTTGTATACCTAGATGGGTTTCCCTGGTGGTGCAGTGGTAAAGACTCTGCCTGCCAATGTAGGAGACAAAAGGGACTTGGATTTGATCCGTGAGTCAGTAAGATTCCCTGGAGAAGGAAATGGCAACCCACTCCAGTATTCTTGCCTGGAAAATCATGTGGACAGAAGAGTCTTGTGGGCTACAGTCCATGGGGTTGCAAAGAGTCGAACACAAGTGAGCACGCATGCACCACATGTACCAGGTATAACTGACTTTTCCTTATCTCTGGAATATTGGAGCTACTTCATCTTTTCTGAGAGGAGAACATACTATGTTCTCTTGTCCATGTCCATCATCAATTGGATAAACACACATTTGTATGAGGTACAGAGGCTTTGTTCCCATTTTCATACCCCAAATTGAAATATGTTTTGGCAATAAATTTGGGGATTTTTCAAATTGTGAGAACTAATCTGAAATGTTTTTAATGGAGGTGTAAAATTAAATTTATGAGCTATAAAACTTGTTTTGAGAGATCTGTGTAACCATATATTTAAAGTTGATTGCTCATTATTAAAGCAGAATTGGCACTAGCCTTCACTAGAGAATCATAAAGTCTCAGCACTAGAAGGAAATCAAGAGAAAATTTTCTCTCACTGGTTCAATTGCCAGATGAAGACCCTCATTCCCAAGGACTAGGCTTTCTGCTTATATGTGGGGATGTGGTCCCTGGGGAGCAGGAGGTTGTGGAGTTTGGTTGAGTTGCCTCTTTCTGGCATCTGACAGAGGACCCAGGGTGTTCTCATGAAGCTTGTAGGTCAGGCTGGTTCTGTTGCTGAGGTGCTCAGAAGAGGGCATCTGAGGCACTTTATAGAGATCGTCTCCTGTCTCCACTTCTTGAGAAATCAGACCCACCGTGTGTGGAAGAGTCATGCACATCTCTTTTCCACTCCTTGCCACTATTGGTCCATCTTCTTTCCAACTGCCAAGGTCCAGACAAGATGTTGCATGGAGTAGCTGAGTCAGTATGAAGTAGCTCAATCTAGACTTTAGACGATGCTGGGTGCTCCCCCTCACTTCAGATACTTTGTGGCCCCTTTTACTATCCTTCCATCAGAGGTTGTGTCTTGTCATTTTGTCATCACTAAAACCAGTTTCTCCTTACTGTTTCAGGCATCTCTCTGAAGTCTCTGAGAGAAACTGTCGACTCTGGGGTGGAAGAGAAGGAGTCCTCATTGGTCCTGAGACAAGAAGAGCATGGATCTGATGATGTTGAGCTTAGCACCATGTAGTGCCATTTTTGAAGCAAGAAATTCTTGAAAGACATCTCTGTAATATTGTTTCTCAAATAAATGATAATCCCGTCTTCTTCATAATTATAGTTTTGACGTGGAACTATGGTTAAAGACATTTTTTTCTCTGTAGAAATCATATCATTACCTGCGATACAGGGTTTTACATTGAAAGTTGCCATGAAACATAATCCCTGATATTTTCATGTCTTTGTAACTTACTCTACTCTGCCAGAATAAAGTATTTATGGGTGATAAGTGCCTGTGAGGTTTCAGAAAAATCTAGAGACTTTCACTGGGTCTTCCCAAATAACATAGGACAGGCCTCCAAGCTTAACAGGCTAAGTGCACTATTGATAGGAAAGAATTTCCTATAAATACTTTCCCCACATGACATTCTGGCTGCCTTGTCATAATTAGTACTCTGCAGAGAAGTTTTCTGGCTCTTGTGACAGACCCTGGAATGATAAACCCTCCAAAACCACCCCTCACAAAAGGCCCCTTCACAGGCCACATGGATAACTTGGAATGATTGCCCTCATCTCCCTGATCTAAATAGTCCAAAAGTTTATTCACCAACTCCTGGCTAGTTTTGAGCACTCAATCCATAATAGGCTCATCCTGAGACTCTCCCAAGTCTAGGTGTGAAATCTTGTCCTCCTCTCCTCTCCCATAATTTTGTATGATTTCTATCACCCAGAATTATAGTAGCCAGCTATTTTGGCTTCATGGATACCGTAGATCAGGAATAAAATTTAACATTCTTGATGGGTACACTTTACTCTGTCACTTATTTCATCACTTCCTAATGGCAAATGGCCATGTGAGCTGCACTTAGAGGAGCCCTAGGAATCTTCTAATCCCCAGCATAGAAAAAAATTATAGAGATTACAAGCATGAGTGTAGGTTGGAGCCCTGACATCATCCAGAACCATCAACTAAATAACAGGTTGGCCACAAATCATAATCAGGCCAGCACTCTTAGGTCTTATATTAGTTCAGCAGCTTCTCCACATGTCCACAATGTAATGGACAGGAGGCGGGGGTATTGTGAAAATATACTGTTTACTTGGTCACTCCTACAAGACAGCTCTCTCTACCCTGAAGAATCACAGCAGGATCACATTTACATTTTCGACAGTTACCAGATCAAAGGACTCTTTAAATGATATATTTTCAGAGAAGCCTATTGATCTGAAATTCTTCCTCTAAGAGTTCAGTTGTATCAGACTCCTCTATTGACATCAATAAAACTCAAATAGCCAAAACTTCCTGATCTTTCTGTCTATATCCCTTCTTCTAGATCCCCTCTGTCTTGTTCTCCAATTTCTTGCCCCCTTATTCTACCTGATGCCCCTCAGTGGTGGCTCGGATGGTAAAGAATCTGCCTGCAGGGCAGGAGACCTGGGTTCGATCCCTGGGTGGGGAAGATCCCCACCCAGGAAAAGGGAATGGAAAAGGGAATGGTAACCCACTCCAGTATTCTTGCCTGGAGAGTCTCATGGACAGAAGAGCCGGGCAGGCTACAGTCCACAGGGTGGCAAAGAGTCAGACACGACTGAGCGACTAACACTTTCACTTTGTCCCACCGGAATACAGAGTGTGAGTTAGCACCAATTTGCCCTTCATCAACTTGGAGGGAGATATGAGCTGATGTAATTCACTTTAAAAGCTAGATAATTGGACAGACAAGAAATGACAATATCCTGAAGAAGTAGTAGGAAGTGATGGAGAGGCAAGACTGGATTTAAAAGGATTTGATAACCAACTAGACATGGGAGAAGAGAGATAAAGAGTCTATATGCACTTGAGGAAAAAACAGAAAAAAGTAACCTAGGGAATGGGAGATGAAAAGGAAGATGTAGTTATGTAGAGTGAGATTTTTAATTGGCCATGAGAATTTAGGGTAAGGAAAGCTGTAAGCATTCTCTTCCACCAGCCAATCTCTTACCCTCGATGTTGAAACTCACACCCAATCTGGTGCCTAATAACTGAATAAAAACAGATGGTGTGACATCTTGGGGAAGAGGAAGAGCATATAGGAAGGTTCAGGATTTCCATCCCCCACACAAGTTCACCTTGCTAAGAATGAAGGTGTGAGTGTGGACAAAGTTTAAAATCTGTTGTCTAAGGAAGAGTGACCTGGAGAATTTCTGAGCCTGAGTGAAGTCATGCCTTCATTAGCATTTGGGGGAGGTGAGACAAGTCAGTTCACTCATCTGGTATTTCCTTAGAAGGAAATTGTGATTGAATACCAATCCTCTAAGAGCATTTGGAATGAATCTTGCTATTGTCAACAAGGCAAAAAGTTACTTTATTGAGAATATTTCATTATGAGCAATTTCATTATGAGCAATGAGTGATAGGTCAGCACTACTCTATTGAAATATGGGCATTAGAACATCTGAGGCATCATCTCGTATTTAATACAACATCATGGGAAAGTAACTATGGATGTTTCCAGGGCACTTAATTCAACATCATCGTACTCGGTGTCTGCTTCTTCCCCCTGGAGCAACCAGGGGTTCTCTTCTTCTCCCCCAGGATCAGTCACCTCTCTAGAGATATTCAGAGAAGAACCTGAAGTAGGAACAAAAAGTTTGATTAGAATTGAAACAGAGAGACATGACAGAGCCCTGTGGTGGAAGTGAGTCAAGTAAGTGGTGACGACAAAGCATCCCTGGGATCCAGGTGTGCTCAGGGAGGCTCAGGCTATTTCATGTTTATTTCAGTGAGCATGGATCAGGGCTGTCTTCTCAGGATCTGGGCCCGGGAATTGGCTAGTGGTCCAGTGGTCAGGACGTGGTGTTTTCACTTCTGTGCCCCAGGTACAATTTCTGTTTCAGGCACTAAGACCTGCAATCTTGCAGCATTTCTCCTCTCCTTCACCTCCCAAACAAAAAGGATTCAGCCTATCTGAGGTCTCAACTTAAATGGGAAATCCTGGATTACAGGAGATCTGTTCCCTGGCTAAACAATCAGCAAGGAGATACCCAAGAAGGGAAGAATCTCTAGAAGGGGTGTAAAATTTTCTTTTTTTCATAATTAACAAGTCTGAAACAACAAGAAGAGGGAGATAGGAGTTCACATCTGGAGAAATCTCAGCTCCTCACTGGCCATCCAACTCTGCTCTTGGTGGTCTTGATTTGTGTTCCCAAAAGCCCACAAAAAGCAACCATGGAATCCTTCTGCAGTGGCCCCTCCCACAGGAAACACACAAACCTCAGATGGAGAAATACCCTTCATGGAGAATGAGTGTATTTCCTTGGCCACTGAAATGTCTGGAACAGATTAACATGAACCTGCTCACAAATTCTGAGTCCATAATCCACCATCATGCTTCTGTTTTTTAGGACCATATATATCATCCACTTTATACATATTTGGGTTGACCTATGGTCAGAGTGCATTTTAAAGTATAAAAATGCTTTACAAATTCCAATACTAACATAGTCTTTAAAATCTCTAACTGCATTTCACATATGAGACAGCACAAAATGTTATTCAGTTATTCTATTTTTGTATTAGGTAAATATGCTCAAGTAATCTACAAGTCTTAATGCAGGAACATGAAGGACAAAGTCATGCAGACACAGATACTAATACTAGAGTGCTTCCTCTCTTCTCAGGAGTCTGACAGCGTTAAAGAAAGGAATAAGATCAAGATGATGCTATCAACTATTTGAGATCATCCAAAACTGGAATATCTAGGAGGGATGGACACTGAGCAGATCAAATTCACCATTTCCAGGATAGAGACCAAAGACTGCAGGAGATCAGCTAACTACACTCACCTGTCTGAGAGGACCTCGTTGTATCCACCTTTTCTGGGGTCACTTCCTCCTCACTCCCCTGAGAGGCAGAAGGAGCCCCAGGCAATGGTACCTCTTTAGCGTCATCGTAATCCTCACCATGGGCATCAGTCCTCTGATCTGGGGCTTCCAAGGGCAGAGCAGGGGTCAAATGAAACCACAGTAAGTGGGTTGGTCTGGGAAATACCTAAGATCCCTTCTGACTCAGAGTTTCTGAGCCATTAAACAAAGGTACCAGTCACTCCTTGTTGCAACAGAACTTTTTTCTAAGGTTGTATTTCATGTTGGTGTGCCCATAAGTTAAAAAAAAAAAGATATTATATATCTCAATACTTCCTTTGCCAACAAAGGTCTGTATAATCAAAGCTATGGTTTTTCCAGTAGTCATGTATGGATATGAGAGTTGGACCATAAAGAAGGCTGAACGTTGAAGAATTGATGCTTTTGATTTGTGGTGTTGGAGAAGATTCTTGAGAGTCCCCTGGACTCTAAAAAGAGAGATCAAAACTGTCAATCCAAAAGGAAATCAACCCTGGATAGTCACTGGAAGGACTGATGCTGAAGCTGAAGCTACAATACTTTGGCCACCTGATGTGAAGAACTGTCTCATTAGAAAAGACCCTAATGCTGAGAAAGATTGATGGCAGGAGAACAAGGAGATGACAGAGGATGAGATGGTTAGGTAGGATCACCGACTCGATGGACATGAGTTCAAGAAAACTCCAGGAGCTGGTGATGGACAGGGAAACCTGGCGTGCTGCAGTCCATGGGATCACAAAGAGTCAGACACAACTGAGCAACTCAAAACAATATTTCCTGATTAAAATTACATATCTCAAAGCAACTATTACACCAATGAACATTACTATAAAATTTTGACAAATGATGTTTTCCAGATGTTGTTTCTATTCAGTCACCAAGTCATGTCTGACTCTTTGCAACTCCAAGGACTGCAAAATGACAGGCTTCCCTGTCCCTCACCATCTGCTGGAGTTTTCCCAAGTTCATGTCCATTGAATCGGTGACACCATCCAACCATATCATCCTCTATCACCCTCTTCTCCTTCTGCCCTCAATCTTTCCCAGCATCAGCGTCTTTTCCAGTGAGTCAGCTGTTCCCATCAGGTGGCCAAAGTATTGGAGCTTCAGCTTCAGCATCAGTCCTTCCAATGTGTATTCAGTGTTGATTCCATTTAATATTGACTGATTTGATCTTACTGTCCAAGGGACTCTCAAGAGTCTTCTCCAGCACCACAGTTCAAAAGCATCAATTCTTCAGCACTCTACCTTCTTTATGGTCCAGCTCTCACAACTGTATATGATTACTGGAAAAACCATAGCCTTGACTATATGGACCTTTGTCAGCAAAGTGATGTCTTTGCTTTTTAACACACTCTTTAGGTTTGTCAGAGCTTTTCTTCCAAGGAGCGAGTGTCTTTTAATTTCATGGCTGCAGTCATCATCCACAGTAATTTTAAAGATGCTCCCAGATAATGTTTTCTTTTAAATATGTGCATGTTATGACCGAATGAGAGTAACTAAGGGCACAGAGAGCCCAGCCCCAGCATGAGACATCGCAGAACAGCTAGAGAAGGGGGAGAACAGACCCCCATCTGGACACAAGGGATCCCTCTGGTCCATCAAAGGAATACTGTTTTCCTTGAATCTTGTCTCTATGAGGGAAACTCTCTTCCCCAACACCCAGTTGCAGCAGGTCCACCTCTATTACCAGGAGCGGATCTGTGGTCATTGTTGTCTTCATCGTCCCTCATGTAACATGGCATTTTATTCACTGAGTCATCTGACAGGGATCGTAAAGTGAAGAAAAACATCACAGAATACACAGAAACAACCCTCCTGATACCCATGGGACATGTGTTAAGGCTGAGAAGAAATGAGGAGACAGGCCTGGCTCCTGCAGTGTAGATGGAGACTCAAGGCTCATGGGGCTCTGAGAGGCCATCTTGCCACTTTGGATAGCCGCCTCTGTGAGCCTGGGGCATACATGAGGTCTGCAGACACTGAGAAGACCTGCACAGCCAGTGTGTGGTGACAACCAGAGGTCCCAGGAGAACAGGCAGAGACACTGGCCTGGGCTGCCCAGAAGACCCTCTTTCTGTATCACACAGTGATCTAGGTCCTCATACACAGCTTCAGGAAGAGCATCTTCATAGCTAGATAAGGCTGAGAGATCCCCCAGCAGGTCAGAGATGCTGCTCCAGATACCCGGATCCATCAGGCCCACCCTTCATCTCCCCGGTGCTCTCACACAGGCTGCTGGGACCTCAGCATCGTCTCCTACCCCATGCATTGTGTTGGCACTGAAGAAGGAATTCACAGGGCCTGGACTTCATCTGAGGCCTGTCCATGCTGATCGTGCTCGGCCACTTCTCCAGTGGACTCTGAACTCTCTGCTTAGTGCCTGTGGGAATGACAATGGAAGGATAAGACCCCCTCCGGACAGGGGAACCTTGAAGATCATATCCAGGTTACTCATCACCTAAGAGAAAACAGACACTATTCACCCCTGCCACCGGACAGTATCTATCGGAATGTAACCACAGGCTTATTGGTTATTAACTGGTTGGAATGTAACCGTGGGCTTATTGATTATTAACTGTTTGAACACATAACATGTGAATGATGGGGTTATTGTGATTGTATTTACCCTTTCTTTGTAAGCCTCAAGGGATTTGGGGTGGTGGGTTTGGACATGTACACATGGGGTATAAAAGATTTTCACAAAAGCTGGTCGGGGTCCTTGGCTAAGAGGAGGAGACTCTGCCTTGGGCCCGCCGGTGTAATAAACTGCACTCCACTATCTGCATTGTCCTTCTGAGTGAGTTTGTTTCCCAGAAAGCATGGTTATAACAGCACCTTCTCTCCTGATGTAACCTGAATCCACAGCTGAGCCTCAACTCTTTCTTCTCTCACAGAAGAGGCCACGACATATGAGAGTTCACACCCCAGTACTAAGAACCTCTGTACACTCAACCCTTAGAGCTCAGCATGGAGCACATGGAGTCTGCAACTCAGAACAGAGACCTAGCCCAGGCTCCCCTCCTCACACCCGCCCCATCTCCTGCCTGCACACACGCTCCCTGGTCCCCAGTTCCCCCGGCAGCCCACCTCTGCACTCTGCTCTCCATCTGAGCAGCTGAGTCACCAGGATGATGAGGACCAGGAAGAGAAGAGCTCCCAGGATGAGGCAGAGGACCCAAGGCAGGGAGAAGGCACCAGGGAGAGGATTTGAGGTTGTTCTGGTCCCTAAGGAGAATAAAGCAAGAGGGTGTGGAGAAGGTCCTGGGCACAGAGAAACCTCTGTGCCAGCATTTCCAGGAGCTCCAGAAGATGGTGTTCCAGCCTCAGACAGTGACTGGGCTCCCCTGGGTCTCTCCTTAGATGAGTCAACTCCACTCCAGTGTGGCCCCAAGGCAGAGCCAGGGATTGTCAGGGAGATGCTCTGCCAAGACAGCCTCTGAGGACCTGGCTCATCCCTTCTCCTTGGGCATCAAACAGTCCTGGGATCCACATCTCACTAATGAGGAGAAACACTTAAGGGCAGGTGGAAGAATCTTCGCCTTTGCAATATGGGAATCAGTCTCCCTTGGACCCCGGGGCATGAGAAACCTCTGACCCAGAGAACCAAGGCAGAGGACTTCCCCAACATAATGCTCTGGTTCACTCCACCAGTCAGGGGCTCCTCAAGCTCTTTCCTCTTTTGTTGTCAGAGAATCCACAGAACAGGTCCCAAGACTCTGAATATCTACCCGGCCCAGGAATCCTGGCACTGTACTTACTGGGGGCAGTTGCGGGGCTGGCAATGTAATTCTTACAGCCAAAAAAAGTAGGAATTTGGAGCAAGGGAACTGGCCAGAAATAGGTGAAAGTGAAGTGTTAGTCACTCAGTCGTGTCCGACTCTTTGTGACCCCCTGGACTATAGCTTAGCAGGTTCCTCTGTCCCTGGAATTCTCCAGGCAAGGATACTGGAGTGGATTGCCATTTCCTCCTCCAGGGGATCTTCCAGACAAAGGGATCAAAGCCCAGTCTCCTGCATTGCAGGCAGATTCTTGACTGTCTGAGCCACTTACTGGGGGGTGCTTGGGGAAGGCAATGAAATTTTTTCACCCAGAGAAAAAACAGGAATTAGGACCAGGGTGATTGACCAAATGCAGGGCAGCCCATTTTCTCTCCTGAGTCCTGAAATCACCCCTCAGTCTCCACAACACCAGTGTCCAGTCCTCCCAGCTTCTGCATCATAGATCAGGGCCCCAGGACTGGGACACGTCTGAGTACAAACTCCCCACCACGCCTGGCCCAGCCCACTGCCGCGCCGCTGCCCCAGCTCACCCAGGGCGACCCGCGCGGCTCACTCACCAGAGCACATCACCCCGAGCCCCTCACTCACCAGGGCGGACCCGCGCCCCTCACTCACCAGGGCGGACCCGCGCCCCTCACTCACCAGAGCACCTCACCCCGGCGTCCTCCTCGTGCTTGCAGTCGCTCTGCCCCCAGGGCCCCGCGGCACAGTCCCACAGGGAGGACTCCCGGCCCCCGCACCGCACCTCGTCCAGCCAGATGCTCCCGTTTCCAGGACCAAACGCCGCGGCCCGCATGGCTTCCAGGGCCGGGCCACAGCCTAGCTGCTGGCACACGACCTCGGCCTCTGCCAGGCTCCAGGAGTCATCGCACACGGTGCCCCAGGAATCGTTGTGCCAGACCTCCACCCGCCCTGAGCACTCGCTGTCTCCTCCCCTGAGCCGGAGCTTCTCTCTGTCTGAAAAGGCAGCAGCCCCTCCTGTGACACCCCTGGTGGGAGGAAGGAGCCCCTGGGAGCCCTGGGGAGGGGGCGGGGCTGACGTACCTGTGCAGGGGGCAGCAGCGGGGCAGCTCTTGGGTCTTCTTCCTGTAGGAGCAACGATGGGAAGTGCTGGATCAGGGACAGCTGGGGGTAGTCTTGTCCCCAGACATGAATATCTGTCATCCTTGGTTGAGTCCAAATGACAAGGATAAACACAGGCTCATTATCTATTGGACTGAAGCATTCACTGCATGTGACCACTAGCTGAAACAACTGTAACTGTTTATATATTTGTCTCCACATTCCACTACAAATACAAACACACACATTTTGTAGATTCAACCTAAACTCATCACTTAGATTGGAAACTATAAAATCACACTAATGACATCCTACAGAGTTGGGATAGGCACAGAAACAGTAAGTCACCTGCACACGAGATATAGACTTCTTCCTTTGGAGAGCATGAAGTGTAATTCCAAGGGTCAGAAGGACACTGCCAGAGAGAGGTATCAGTTTTCTGGCACTGGATTCCATCTACCCACTGGGGTCTAGAACCTTCCCTAAGAGCAACAGAAGAGTTGAGACTTCCACTGTCCCCACAGCCAAGCTGTCTGCAGATCACAGACACGGTGATGTCTTCCATGGGGCTGCGGCAGACACTACCCCAGGTCCCATTGTAGAAAACTTCCAGCCACCCAGCACACTGCTGGTCTTCACTCACCATCCTGAGGGCCAGGAACTCTTAGATTGAAAGGGAAGAGACAGGACACAGTGAGCATTCCACTCAGTGCTCTGGGTTTTCCTCTTCCCCAGAAATTGTGACCATACATCCCCGACCCAGCAGAGGAGATGTCCACTGGATGAGAAGACTAACTTTTGCCTCACTTCCACCTGACTTTGTCCATTAATATCTTTCTATTTCAACCACAAGGATGGTTATGAACAGAGAAAGACCAACCAGGCACTTACAGGGCAGGGGAGCTGAATCCTGCTTCCTGATAAAACTTCTAAAGACTGTGAAAGGATGTGATGTGCACAGCGAGGTGGTCGACAGTATAACGGACCCCCAGAAATGTCCACATCCCAATCCTGGAGCCTGTGAGATGTTACCTTACATTTAGAAAGGGGCTTCACAGATGTGATTAATAAGGACCATGGGATGGTCAGATTAAGCTGGAACAATGTGGATTAATCACCTGAGCTCAGTCTAATCACCTCCTTAGCCCTAATACCCTTAGATGGATCACCTTGAATAGCTTCAGTTAGAGGGAGATGTGAGTGAGGAAGAACAGTTGGAATAGGCACTGTTGTCTGAAGAAGAAAGGGGGCCCTGAGCCAAGGAATGAGGCCACACAGAAACCAGGAAAGGCTGGGAAAGGAGTAGTCTGCACAGCATCCAAGAAGAACGCAGCCCTGTGGACACTGGGATGTTGGCTCACCGAGACCATTGTCAGACTCCTAGCAAACAGAACTGAACAGAATAAATCTATGCTTTCATTACAACATCACCAGGATCTCCAGACTGTATTATGACTGGGAACGGCAGAGTGAGTCCTGCTTTCACGTGGCAACTGTGAGAAACAGCTCTGGCAGGAAACACTACTGAGAAGAAAGAACCAGAATGTCAGCTGCTGTAGGAGGAAGTGAAAGCACCTCGTCTTCACGTCTGCTGGAAAGACAGGCTCCATGGGAGGAAGCCTCCTACTCTGGTTGTTTCAGCATCTCTCATCAGTGCTCAGATCCTCGTCCTCCAGGGCCCCACCCTTCCCCCAGCCTGTGGACAGTGTGCACGCAGACCTGAGCAGATGACCCCTGCGTCCTCCTTATGTCTGCAGTAGTGCCGCCCCCAGCCCCGGGAAGGGCAGTTCCACACGTGAGACTCATTTCCAGCGCAGTTCAGGTCGGCCAGCCAGATGGGTCCTGATCCCGCCCCGAAGTGAGCAGACCTCGTGGCACTGAGGGCTTCTCCACAGCCCAGCTGCCTGCACACCACGCGGGCATCGTCCAAGTCCCAGCAGTCATCACAGATGGTGCCCCAGGAGTCCTGGTCCAGGATCTCCACTCTCCCGGCGCAGGGACCGCCCCCGTCCACCAGGCGGAGCTGTCTGCTGTCTGACGAGAGAGAAATGGGACAATGTGGGTGTTGACAGGGGAATGAGAAGGGTCTTCTGTCCTGTGGGACCTTAACCTGAGAAGGGTCTTCTGTCCTGTGGGACCTTCACCTGAGCAGTAGGGGGCGCTCTCCTCTGTAGCTGCAGAGCCTGCTGGTTCAGACACGGAATCACTGCACTGGGGCAGCACCTGGGTCTGGTTTCCTGCAGAAACAGCAATGATCAGGAGATTGGGAGTGTTAAAGAGCAAAAAATTGAATTAAGGTAAATAATGACCTAACTGGTGGAGCCTGAGATAAGTGCTGTAACATAGCAGTAACCTTATGGTAAATTTAGAGTTCACCTTCTCTACGGAGAGTTCTGTGTCTGACAATGCTAAAATTTCTGTTTTAAGCCAAGCGTTGGACTAAGAATAAATTTACAAAAGTGAGAAATTATCAATACTTTTGATATTGTTGTTGAGCTACCCAAGCAGTGAGAGTTTTTGGAGCCAAGCTCTCAGAGAGAATAAAGGGCAGAGGTGAGCCACTTCTCTGAGGCCTTTGTCAATTCAGAGGTAAGAGCTGAGACTCTGCAAAGCTCAGCAGAGATTCTGCCAGACACACTAGCTCAGGTAACATGAAGGACTATTCAGGGTCCGCCTGGGAGAAGGTTAGCCAGGATCTGGGCATGATAAAAGGAAAGTGAACTAAAAGCTGATCCTTTCCCGAGGAATGGATGCCCAGTTTCTACTTTCTTCACCCTCTTTCAAGTAAGGTGATCAACCCTAAATTGGGTGCCTAGAGGAATCTATAAAATAAGCTCCTTTCTGAAGGAGTTCTACAATTTTTCACCCATAATGTCTGTCAATCAAATACCCAGTCACAAAAGATAAAAAATTTGACAAAAATATATGAAGAAAAAATGCATTAGAAAGAAATGTACAGAATACCTGGCTACTGGAGTTAACCTGACAAAAGTTTAAATCACCATGGATGAAATGTTCAAAGAATGAAATGACAAGATAGAATTTTGGCAGAGAAATGATCACAAAGAATTTAATAAAAATTCTAGAATTGAAAATGTCAATTTTTAAAATAACTCAGAGGATGTGTGTAATACTCCATCAGACCAGCACAAGATAGCAATAGTAAAAGGAGACAGAATGAAGCACAGAAAGAAAAAAATGGAAAATATAAAAATTTACAGAAAAATGCTAAACAGGTCTGGCATTCATATATACTAAGTCCTAGATACATAAAGCCAAAATTGACAGAACGTAAGGCAGAAATTTAGAATCAACAATTTCCCATTTTATACACCCTGGTGGGTTGTAAACATCCACAAAATCTTTACATCCACTGAGAAGTGAAGTCTATGCCTCCCTCTCTTGAAGCTAGGCTGACCTTCATGAATTCCCGGTAGGCAATAGAAGGGAGTATATGTATCACTGCTCAAACTTCGCATTAGGTCTGAGGACCATTCAGCCTCCTCTGAAATCACTGAGGACTTTTGCTTTAGGGCAAGGAGAGACAAGAAAACCTTCTTAAGTGAACAATGTAAAGAAATAGAGGAAAACAATAGAATGGGAAAGACTAGAGATCTCTTCAAGAAAATGAGATACCAAAGGAATATTTCATGCAAAGATGGGCAAATTAAAGGAAGTGGAAAGGACCTTTAGGAAATGACAAGGACCTAACAGAAGCAGAAGATACTAAGAAGAGATGGCAAGAAGACACAGAAGTGAGTGCTAAGTCACTTCAGTCATGTCCGACTCTTTGTGATCCTATGGACCATATCCTGCCAGGTTCCTCTGTCCATGGGATTCTCCAGGCAAGAATACTGGAGTAGGTTGCCATTTCCTTTTCCAGGGAAGAAGACACAGAAGAACTATACAAAAAAATCTTAATGACCCAGATGACCACAATCATGTGATCATTCACTCAGAGCCAAACACCCTGGAATGCAAAGTTAAGTAGGCCTTAGGAAGCATCACTATGAACAAAGCTAGTGGAGGTGATGGAATGTCTGCTGAGCTCTTTCAATGCAAAAAGATGATGCTGTACATGTGCTGTACTCAATATGCCAGCAAATTTAGAAAACAGTAGTGGCTACAGGACTGGAAAAGGTCAGTTTTCATTCCAGTCCTAAAAAAGGGCAATGCCAAAGAATGTTCAAACTACTGCACAGATGCACTCATTTCACATGCCAGGAAGGTAATGATCAAAATCCTTAAAGCTAGGCTTCAACAGTATGTGAACAAAAAAATTTTCTAATGTGCAAGCTCGATTTAGAAAAGGCAGAAGAACCAGACATCAAATTGCCAACATCCGTTTGATCACAGAAAAAGCAAGGGGATTCCAGAAAAGCATCTACTTCTGCTTCATTGACTATGCTAAAGCCTTTGACTGTGTCAGTTCAGTTCAGTTCAGTCACTCAGTCGTGTCCGACTCTTTGAGACCCCATGGACTGCAGCACGTCAGGCTTCCCTGTCAATCACCAGCTCCCAGAACTTGCTCAAACTCATGTCCATCGACTCAGTGATGCCATCCAACCATCTCATCCTTTGTCGACTCTTCTGCCCTTGCCTTCTGTCTTTCCCAGCATCAGGGTCTTTTTCAGTGAGTATGCATCAAGTGGCCAAAGTATTGGAGCTTCAGCTTCAGCTCCAACGTCAGTCCTTCCAATGAATATTCAGGACTGATTTCCTTTAGGATGGATTGGTTTGATCTCCTTGCAGTCCGAGGGACTCTCAAGAGTCTTCTCCAGCACCACAGTTCAAAAGCATCAATTCTTTGGTGCTCAGCTTTCTTTATGGCTCAACTCTCACATCCATAAATGACTACTAGAAAAACCATAGCTTTGGCTAGACAAACCTTTGTTGGCAGAGTAATGTCTCTGTTTTTTCATATGCTGTCTAGGCTGGCCATAACTTTCCTTCCAATGAGTAAGCATCTTTTAATTTCTTGGCTTCAGTTACCATCTGCAGTGATTTTGGAGCCCCCCAAAATAAAGAAGTATCTCACTGTTTCTGTTGTTTCCCCATCTATTTGCCATAAAGTGATAGGACCAGATGCCATTATCTTAGCTTTCTGAATGTTGAGTTTTAAGCCAGCTTTTTCACTCTCTCTTTCATCAAGAGGCTCTTTAATTCTTCTTTGCTTTCTGCCATAAGGGTGGTGTCATATGCATATCTGAGGTTATTGATATTTTTCCTGGCAATCTTGATTCTAGCTCATGCTTCATCCAGCCCAGCATGTCTCATGATGTACTTTGCATATTAGTTAAATAAGCAGGGTACCAATATACACCCTTGACATACTCGTTTCCCTATCTGGAACCAGTCTATTGTTCCATGTCCAATTCTAACTGTTGCTTCTTGACCTGCATGCAGATTTCTCAGGAGGCAGGTCAGGTGGTCTGGTATTCCCATATCTTTAAGAATTTTCCACACTTTGTTGTGATCCACACAGTTAAAACTTTGCCATAGTCAATGAAACAGAAGTCGATGTTTTTCTGGAACTCTCTTGCTTTTTCGATGATCCAAAAGATGTTGGCAATTTGATCTCTGGTTCCTCTGCCTTTCCTAAATCCAACTTGAACATCTGGAAGTTCTCGGTTCAGGTACTATTGCAGCCTGGCTTGGAGAATTTTGAGCACTACTTTACGAGTGTATGAGACGAGTGCAATTCTGTGGTAGTTTGAGGATTCTTTGGCATGGCCTATCTTAGGGATTAGAATGAAAACTGACCTTCTCCAGTCCTGTGGCCACTGCTGAGTTTTCTGGCATATCGAGTGCAGCACTTTCACAGCATCATCTTTTAGGATTTGACATAGCTCAGCTGGAATTCCATCACCTTCACTAGCTTTGTTCATAGTGATACTTCCTAAGGCCCACTTGATTTCACATTCCAGGATGTTTGGCTCTAGGTGAGTGATCACACCATCGTGGTTATCTGGGTCAAGAAGATCTTTTTTGTATAGTCCTTCTGTGTATTCTTGCCACCTCTTTGTAATATCTTCTGCTTCTGTTAGGTTCATACCATTTCTGTCCTTGATTGTGCCCATCTTTGCATGAAATGTTCCCTTGGTATCTCTAATTTTCTTAAAGAGATCTCTAATCTTTCCCATTCTGCCATTTTCCTCTATTTCTTTGCACTGATCAAAGAGGAAGGCTTTCTTATCTCTCCTTGCTATTATTTGTAACTCTGCATTCAAATGGGTATATCTTTCCTTTTCTTCTTTGACTTTAGCTTCTCTTCTTTTCTCAGCTGTTTGTAAGGCCTCCCTCCTCAGACAACCATTTTGCCTTTTTGCATTTCTTTTTCTTGGGGATGGTCTTGATCTCTGTCTCCTATACAATGTCCCGAACCTCCATCCATATTTCTTCAGGTACTCTGTCGATCAGAACTAATCCCTTGAGTCTATTTGTCACTTCCACTATATAATCGTAAGACATTTGATTTAGGTCATATCTGAATGGTCTAATGGTTTTCCCTACTTTCTTCAATTTAAGTCTGAATTTTGCAATAAGGAGTTCATGATCTGAGCCACAGTCAGCTCCCAGTCTTGTTTTTGTTGACTGTATAGAGCTTCTGCATCTTTGGCTGCAAAGAAATCTTTGCACATCTTTGTGCAAAGTCACACATCTTTGACTGTGTGAATCACAACAAACTGTACAGAATTCTTAAAGAGATGGGAATATCAGACCACCTTTCCTGCCCCTTGAGAAGCCTGTTTGCAGGTCAGGAAGCAAGAGTTAGAATTGGACATGAGCAACAGACTGTTTCCAAATTGGGAAAGAAGTACATCAAGGTTGTATATTGTCATCCTTCTTAATTAACTTCTATCATGTGAAATGCTGGGCTGGATGAAGCTCAAGCTGGAATCAAGATTGCTGGGAGCAATATGAATAACCTCAGATATGCAAATGACACCACCCTAATGGCAGAGAGTGAAGAGAAACTACAGAACCTCTTCATGAAGGTGAAAGAGGAGAGTGAAAAAGATGACTTAAAACTCAACATTCAAAAAACTGAGATGATGGGGTCTAGTGCCATCACTTCATGGCAAACAGATGGAGAAGAAATGGAAACTGACAGATTTCATTTTCTTGGGCTCGAAAATCACTGCAGACAGTGACTGCACACATGAAATTAAAAGATGCTTGCTCACTGGAAGAAAAGCTATGACCAATCTAGATAGCATATTAAGAAGCAGAGACA